GATACTTTATTCCATTAATTAACAAAATAAATATTACGGATATTTAAATGATTGAAATTTTTTTTTGGTGAGAATAATACTACTGTATAAGTCAATGCTCTAAGACTGTTAAGACTAAACAATTTAATATTTTTAAATTATAGTAATGTTTTATCGTTACAATATTTTTTTCCATTATTAATTAAATTAAGTAAATTTTTATCTAATATCGTATACGATAATCATTACATAAGAATCATAGTGTTATCTTTATTTATAATCACTTTTTTGTTGTTGATTTCATATAAGATTTTCTAAATTTAAAGGAAGTAAAAACAATTATCATTTAAATATATCATATTTACAGATATATAAAATATAAAACCATTTTTTCTCTCACTTATGACAAGTTTATGTCATAATTATGAGATATATTCATATCACTACTGGATTATTGTTAGCATTTTGACATAAAGGTACAGTACATACATGTATATACAGTATATTACTTATCAAAAAAGGCTAATCAACTTAAAGGTATATAAAAGTTATTGTTATTATTATAGTCAATGACCGGCTTTTCATTGATTCAATTATAGGGTGTAATCAAATATAATAATTGAATTACAATAATTGTTTGAAATAAATTTATTAAATCTTTTGTGGTTGAAATAACTCTCTCTCTATAAAAGAAATTATTTTTAACTTTAATATTTTTTATCTAAGAAACAAATTATAAATACTTGTTGTCGCAATTAATTGTCATTTTTTTAGTAACAAATGAAAGTTACAAACAATAATAATAATAAAAATTCACCCAAAGGGTGGACAACATATAAAATTTTTATAAAACAAAATTAATGAATTTTTGTGTGTATTTTGTGTATATTTTGCATAAACTTATGAAAGAAAAGAAAAATTTATTAAACATAAAATTATTATTATGATTATAATAATGCATTATTTTTGTAAAACATAATGTATTTATAATAATAATTTTACTAAATTTACATAAAATTATTTAAAAACTATTTGTAAAGGAAAGTAAATTTTTTGTAATAATAGTAATAATAATTACTTAATTAGGAAAGTGGTTTAGTTTTCAACAATAATTGACTATTTATAGCTATAAATAGGTGTTCAATGGGAGCCTATATTATATTAAGGTGTGAAACTTGTATTGAAATAAAAACCATAAGATATTTAAATTTCTTAAAAATGATTAATGAGTTTCTCTAAAAAATCTTTCATTGTTTCGCAGCTTTTATGTCATAAATAGTTTGGTTCACTAAGTTTTTTCTCGCAAAAAAAGTTTATAAAATATATCTTTAGATTTAAAAATAGAGATTAAAATATTTATCATAAAGTCACGAATGTTATTAAAAAAATTCCTACACATACTTTCATTATTATTATTATTATTGTAAAGTACTGTATATAAAGTATATATATAGATATGTTTTAATTATTATTATACACTAATTAACCATTAATTATTGTATGATAATAATTTTAGATATATTTTATGACAATTAATAACATACAGTACTTAAATTTTGCTGTTTTAGTACCAGTTGTTAATCAATTAATTAAAAAATATTGTACTTAGATTATAAGTAATCTATAAAAGTTGATAAATTGTATAAATTATAACATTTAATAACAACCAATCAAATATTTGCCTATTTATTGTTATTTTAACAAAATTAATAGTCTATATAAATATGTTAAAAGATAAAGTAGACATCTATTCCTGTTTTACTATAAAATTTTAACACTTAAACTATTATAAACCCATCAAATATGCATTAAATATAATAAAAAATTACATTTATTTGAGTAAAAATTTGATAAGAATATTAAATATATATACATTTAGATCAATTTTATTATTATTGTTATTATTTTTATAACTAAATCTATTTATATTAGAGTTTACGCGGAATTTATATTTTTTGATGATATTATAATAATATAATTATGGTTTAACTAAATAATAAACTAAAAATTTTCCTATTTATCAATAAGTATTATAAATATAATAAAATATAGATTTTCACACAAATATCTAAACGTAACCATTAAATATATTTAAAATCAAATTATCAACTCATCAATGTATTATATTAGTAAATTGCTTAATAATTTTGCATAAAATAAATAAGTCATATATAAATAAATATTTTGGACAAATTAATGGTATGGCTATTATTATTATTATTATTATTATTAAGTAATGCAAACCTTGCGGCTAAATGAAGATAAGTTTGTCCGAAGCGGTCTCTTTCATGAAGACCTGTATCAGTGTTGGTGATGAGCCACGAAAGAGCGTTTAGTTTGCCGAAAGCCGAGGCCTCGTGTGCGGGCAATGCACCCGATTTGTTACGGTATGTGGCACTCATTCTGCACGAGTGTATCAAAAATTTTAACACTTTTTGATTGCCATTTCTGGCCGCGTAGTGGACAACGTTAGCGCCGAAGTCGTCGTTAACTATTTGCGATCTCTCCAGAACTGATTTCATAGACTTTTTTTAAATATAAAAAACAATATTAATTTATAAATCAATTCATTGGAAGTTTATTATAAAAATTTATTGGATAGTCATATATTAATATATAAATATACCATTACCTGTAGAGTATGGAGATCACCTTCACGAGCGGCAATGAGCGCCCGGTGCAAAATAGCCACTTCTTGGAGCGCCAATGGCTCTGATTTGTTGTCACAACTTTTTTCACACTCTTTTCTGTAAATAGTGTCCAAATAATCTGTAAATAATATTTTTTGGTTATTATTATTATCATTATTATTATTATTAATGTCATTTTTTACAGAATACTCGTACAAAAAAAATGTATATTTTATTTTTAGAAAATTATTTTTATATTCTCAAATAACATACTTTTTAAGTACAATTGTTTATTTTATATAAAAATTTATATTATAAATATATATTTATATATTAAATATCATTACATACCTCTTGATTTGCTTATATTCCGATACATATTGTCGAGAGTCACACATCACACACGCAAACACACAAAATAACTGTTTGTTTATTAAATTTACAAAAAATTTTTACTATTTTTAAATTAGCACTTATTTTTATGATTAACAATTACGATATTATAGAAACAAAATATCAGAGTTTATATTATATTTAAAAAAAATTTATTGGAAAAAACATTTTTATCTCTGAGACATATTTTTTGAGGAAAAAAATTATTTTCATTTAATCCGTGAGAATATATGAATAGATTAATAATCGATGCAAACATAAGTTTAGTAATGAAGTAAAAATATGTCTCAATATGTCTATTGTAAGATAAGATGAGATATTTTTTGGGTCACTTAGCTCTACAACAAATGATTTTCAGTACAAAAACCTATTGGACCAGAAATAAGACAATCTGTGAAACACATTGCAACTAATATTAAATGATTGCTATTTATACGTAAAAATTATTATAAAACCACTCATTGATATGATTCGCAATTTAAATGATATTCAATGACAGTTCTCTGTGTATTCCGTTTGAACCACAGTTTTAAAAACTTAATTACAAATTATTATTATTAATGAAAACATTTATTTGATTATTTCGATTGCCTAACTGTAAGGCACAGTAATGTACAATACTATTAAATTAAATTATTATTGTTGTTATTACAAATTCAATATTTATTATTATTGATTATTGTTACTATAATTTTTTTATTTAAACACAATTTTAACTTATTGAGAGCGTAGACACAAATAAGTCGGAAAGTCGACTGATTTTGAATATAAAATATAATAGACTCGACATTATATAAATATATATATAATAATTATCATAATATTTTAGTCCAAAGCTTTAGTCACATTGCATATATTAAGCACAAGTAGATATTGAAATAATTGCCGCATACAAACAAATCTTATATAACAGTATATATATAATAATATATATACTGTTATATAAAAATTACTATTAAAAGTAGTACTCAATTGTGGAAATACTTCTTCTATTCACAAGATTTTTATTATTGTTATTATTTGTAAGTGAATTGTTGTATATATTGTTACAAATATAGCACTGGCTTTGCTTAAGCAAAACTAAAGCTTAAATTTAAAAAAAATATTATTACATATGAATAATATAATAATATTTTTGCTTTTCTTAGTTAACGCCATAAACCATGAAATGTCGACCAATTAGTTCAACATTTCTTTACATAAAAATATACTTTTTATATTAAAAATACAATATTTGCTATTATTTAGTACTATAAACACTATTACAGTATTATTGTATTAGATTATGTGGTATTATATTTTTAGATATTTTATATATAATTTAACTTTCATAATAAAAATCAATTAAATCTTAATTAAAATAAATTTTTTCGTAGATATTTTTTAATTTTGCTAAAAAATTGCATAATAATTTCTATTATTAATACTAATATTATTATTATATTGTACTTATTTTATATAATATTTGTGTCTGTGTGTGTGTGTGTGTGTGAGAGAGAGAGAGAGAGAGAGAGAGCTTAATAATTATAAAATTTGCATATTATAGAAGTAAATGGCGAAAAGTATCATAATTTAAATTTAAAATTTTTAAAAAAACCAGAACATTATGGTAGCACTCGTTTAAATAAAAATTTTTAATGATTACTAATGGTATAATTTAATGATTATTACATTTTTATATAATTTTTAAACAATTTCTGGTTTAGTCCATAAAATCATTTGTCGTTAATAAAGCCTTAAGTTATAGGACATACATAAATGAATGATATATTACTAATTATATTATAGTTAACACTATGTATAACAATTACTATTGAATGCTAAGATATACTCATCTTAACTAACATTAGAAAGTAATTGTAACCCATTTTGTAATCAATTAGTGGCTAAAAAGGATTGTAAATTATTATTATCTAGAAATGTATGGATTATGACTACAAAATGTAGTTAATGTCGCCTAAAATTTATTTGATTAAAAATATTGTATTTACTAATGATTATAAAGATAAATAAAAAATATTTATAATGGTTTTTATTATAATATGTTATAAACTTTTTAAACTAATTCATATATGATATAATACTTGCATTTATATTTAATGCTTGTTTTAAATAATTGAAAATATTTAATAAGCTTTTAAACACGGAATTCAATTTGCAAATTGATTGCATAAATAAATAATAGTATAATTATGAATAAAAAAATTTAAAAACTAAGTGCTAAAATTTAGATAAAAAAATAGGTTTTATTTAACTAATTTTATAGAATACTTATATTTAATTTTTTGATATTTTTTACATATATTTTTATAAACAAAAAAATTTAAACGTTTTTGAAGTATTCAAATAGTTTGCTAATTTAAAATTAAATTAAATTATTTAAACTAATCGAAAATTTATTTACTGTAAGTATAGATAATTTAATAATATTATATAGAAATACTTGGCATAAATTTTCTAAAATAAACAAAATAATATATCATTTAACAAAACTGTCTAAACAGTACAGTAATATATACTAAATTATTTTTATTTACTGTAAAATTATCTATCATTTAAATGCTATTATTGTTTATTTAAACACTTTTCTCAATAATCATAGATTGTGTCCCCAAGGCGTCAAATAATGTGTTAAATCGACTTTTAAAATAAATTAATTGGTTTCCTTGCATTTGTTTTTAAAATAAAAAAAATTCATATCATATCTTTCCTTTAAAAAATAATAATAATAATAATAACAGCAATAAATAGCATTGGCTTTATGTTGTCAAATAATCTCTTAACACTATTTTATTTTATACACTCAATTTCATAGATTAATTATTTTTAAGTAACAAAAATATTCAATTATTATGAATTTTTATTTTTTAGATTCAGTTCATTTGATATTTAAAGCTTTAAAACCCCTTTATTTAATATATTATAAAATTGTTTATTGACTTAAAATCAATCAAATTAATTAGTATTATAAAAAAATTGTCAAAAACTTAGTTTAACAAAATCATAAAAATACCGTATGTATTGCTTCAATGCTATATAAATAAAATAAAATATTAATAATAGTGCTATTATTATTATAAATCTATTTGTTATTGCTATGTAATTAATACTAATGTATTATTATATTTAATATAAACTAATTGGTGACACATTGAGTATCGTAATTAGCAAATAAGTTAAGGACAATTGATTGAACCAATTGTTTATTTTTAATTATTGTTCAATAATTAAAAATGTTTTCGCAAGTTTTGAAAATAACAAAACGCATTTAAAAAAGCTATTATATTACTAATATACTCTATATACTATGTACTATAATATTAGTAATATATCCAATATTAGTATTTTTATGGTTTATTTTATAATATCAATTATAGCAATTAAATAAATTTTATTGTTTAATTATCACTAATAATTGCAATTGTTTTATATTTAGATATTTTACTCAACTTGTATTTCTATATATATCTTATATACTTTACAAATAATCTCATATGAAAGTTTACAATTAAAATTCATATATAGTAAACAAATGTAGGTAAAAATAAATTTAGATATGATTGTAATCTTATCTATATAATTTAGGTAAAATTTTTCATAATTAAAACATTTAATATTTATATCTTATATTGCATGAAATTACTTACCAAAAATATTATAATTTAACAACAATTATATAATTACTTTTAAATGTGATTTATTATGATTAATACAAATAAAAGTTACTAATATAGATTACAATAAAATTATTCAAACAACATTTTTAAAAAAAGTCAACTAAAAGTAATTGTGTATTTCTATTAAAGTAAATTTGTTTGCATTTGAAAAATATATGGTTTCGTTTCATTAAATTTTTGTTTCAAACAATTTAATGTTTTTTTATTGTCAATAAATTAAAAAAAAAAAACTTTCTTTTGTTACCAATTGAATGGATCGGAAGTTTGAAATTAAAAATTGCTGTCACTTTGTGGGGTATATATAATATTGTTAAGCATATTAATGAACTTATTTATAGATAGTATCAATTGCCTAGTATTACAATTTACAAATAACAACAATTTTGTTTTGTTTTATATACAGTACCTTAGTTTACTGTAATAGTAAAGAAATTTAATTGTTTGTTACATAAAAATGTCATTTCAATGTTTTCTCATTGAATTCAATGATTCGTAAAACCTGTTTACTGACGGTTTATTTAAAGAAATTTTTTTAAATATTGATTTTCAATTGAAACTACAGTATTGTCCGGTTTTCATCAAATAAGACAATATATGTTTTTCACGGATCATATGTGTCGGCCGCTAACCCCTATCCAATCAATGTGTCTATCAATTACTTTTCATTCACATTACTTTTATTTGACGTTACATTTAATTATTTTTTAAAAACTTATTAAATGTTTTATTTAAAGAAATTAATTATTTTGCTATTATTTTTATAAATGTTATCTTTTTATATTTAATATTTTATTTATAAACGAATTTACTATTATTTTCAGAAAAAATAGTAAACTATTAGCAAAATAATTAACATTGACTTTGAAAATGCTTTTTAAGATAAGACAAAAAACCAATTAAACACAATAATAGACATTTTATGTGACAAACAAAATCAATCATTTTTTAATACAAAAACAGTATATATAATGTATTGTAGTATATAATGAAAATGATTTTCAGTTTCATTATACTATCCAATACACAATTAGTGTAGTCTATTAAATGTATTATTTTAAAGCAATAATGCAGAAAATTATTCATATTCTACATTACATTATACTGATATACTTTATGTTAAACTATTGTTAAAGTTATAAAATTACAAATTATTGAGTGATTGAGTAAAACATTTTTCATATGCAATACAAACTTTAACAATATATACATAAGAATGTATATATTTGTCAAAATACAGTATTCATTATGAATAACAATTTGTGTAAAACTATCACTTATTAGTTCATTATCTATATATCGTTTACTATATATAATTATTTTTGTCACTTAATAATAATTACATGAATATAATAATAATCATAAAAAGTGCCGAATCAACCAAAAGTACACAAATCCGTATTATTTTTTTTAGTCATCATTAAATTGGTTTTAATTAATGATATCATGATATTTGTTAAATACATTTTTTTCACAAATAAATTGTAACAATTTAATGACTTATTGTTAACATGATTTGAATATATAATCAGTTTTATAGTTATAACTACTATAAAAACTACTGAAAAATACTAAAAATAAAATATATAAAATTTTTAATTAACAATACCTGTAAAAATACTATATATAATAATTAATTAATAGTTATTATTGTTCTCAATATTTACATATTTTTATTACACCTATTTTTATATATAATGTATTAGTATTTGTTAAAAGAAACTAATTATAATGTTTATTATATTTTATATTCATCTATATATGTTTAAAGTCGTTGCTAATTATTATTTTTTCATTACTTTTTTATATACAGTATAATCATTATTGTTTTTAAAATATTTTGTTTTATATTTAAAAAGTTAGTTAGTTTGCTTAAAATAAAATTAACATAAAAAAGTTAAATATAATGTTAACAGTATATACATTGTATACATTGTTTACATTGTTTTGTTTTTCATGTTATTCTGAAATTTTAATCAATAAATTAATATCTGTCAAATTTATAACAATAGTTATGCATTTTATTACATTTTAAGCTTAAAGCAATAATCTTTTATTCAAAATTATTGAGTTAATAAATTACTTTAAGTTTCAAATAAATTTCTATTTTTAATTGTATAATAATGGTATCTATATTGTAATTATTCATTTAATAAACTAATAGTAATATAATTTACAAATGCAACAATTTGAGACTATTTGTATTTTTTAGATATTTAATTATATATTAAATGATTATATTATTAGTAATGTATTAATTTATGTTTGTTTCTTAAAATTATAGGAAAACTTAAAATAACAAATTTTTATTTATTCTAATTAAATATATTTAGGTATGTCCTCATAAAAAGTTATTTTTTAATCGAAAATATCTATATATAAATTACATATCAATAATATAATACTCTGCATTCAATAAAAACAAATGTGATTTTTAAATACAAATTATATTTTGTTTTACATTATAAATAACAAACGTAATAATTATATATATATATTAAATTGCACATGCTTTAATATAAATTATTTTATAAGGTTATACTATGATATATACAGTATATATACAGTGTATATACAAATTATAAATAATATTTTTATCTGTACTATAATATTAATAATTTAATTTATTGTTATTCTAACAATAACAATATATGTACTGTATTAATACAGTAATTATAAATAAAAATAATACAAATATTAATATACCATATAATATATTGTTTGAAAGCTTTTTAAAAAATATTATCAATGATAGCATTGAGATACATTGATTAGTAGTAATAATAATAATGATTTTAATAATAAATGATAGTTTAGTAAATTAGCCAATTGTGTGCACTCAATAAAAATGCTATTAATTTATTTATAAATATACTGTAAAACTCATGAGTCCATAATCCCAATACAAATAACATCAGTTTATATATACATACGCCTGCAGTCAATTGAAAGCAACAATTTTCTGACTGATCCTCACATTCATAGTCTAAGGGATTTCCTTTTTTTAGACAATTTTTGTTAAATATTTTTATACATAAACTATACAATAATAGTCATCCTTAAGGAAGTTTGAGTTTTAAATCTATCGACAAAATTATTATTAGTTTTTAAATTGCGGTTTACTTTTTTTTTGCAAAAAAATAAAAAATAAATCCATCGTCTCTTCAATCTCTGTCTTCAAGTGATTTCTTAAAAAAATTTATGCAATTTTTATAATATTGATTCAATAATAATAATAATATTTTTTTTAATTTTTCTAAATTAAAACACATGTTTTAATGTTAAAGATATTTAATTGATGATATATTAGTTAAAAAGTTAAAAAAAACTATCAGACTAATATAAAATATTGATATATATATATATATAAAGTATATACAAATATATAGTTTAAAATACTAGGAATTTTTGTTTGTTGAAAAAATATTTTTTTAAATATGAATATCAATAATTTTAACACAATTAATGAAGTTAATAATGAATGTAAATCAAGTAAAATAAACGATTTATATAATAATAATAACATAAAATTGGATGAATGTATCCGTCCGTTGGTATCAATGAGATTGAATGAGAGGAAAGATATCATCGAAAACAATGACAAACAACGGGACACTTCCGACAACAACAATATGCCTATAGTTAAGACCAAATTTACAGCATTCAGGTAAATAACATTTCAATTTTATTCATTTAATTATTTTTGTTTATATATTGTATATAAAGTATATAACAAAATATTTTATAACTAATTTGATGATATATTAATATTATTGAACCAATTATTAAAGTTTAATTATTAAAATAATAATTTAATAATTAGTAAATTATATAATGTAGTTGTTTTTATAATTAATTTATACATTTTCTAATAATTATGTGATTGAATACAATATATGATTCTATTATTTAATAATCATTAAATTATAAACTAATTCAAATAGTCTATAAATAGTTAATTTTTTATCGTTAGATAAAAAGAAAATCACTAAATTAAAGTTTTGCACTAAATTCACTTTTGATTGACAATTATTGCAATTTTGATTGCCTTTATGTCGCAATATTTGTTATAAATATATATCAGCAATAATTGTTATCAATTAGCACTCAATATACTAATTAAGTAATATTTAGAAATAATATAATATTTTTCGTCTATTGTTTTATTCATATATTTGAATAATACCATAAAAATTTAAATGATGCATAAGTTATGAATATATTAATGATGCTTTATTTAAATTATAAGTTTTTCTAAAAAAGACAATTAGATAAGACAATTAGTTATATTATTTGTAATCTTTAAATATAATTAAAATTATGTTTTAATTGATTATTAGTTTAAACCACTCTAGCGTTTAGTGCAAATTGAAACAACAATAATATTTAAGTTTATAAATAAAATTATTTTATTGATTAATTTATTGTTGTTTAATTAAGAACATTACGATTAAAAATGTAAATCTAATATTCATCATGGTACATTAATTGTACTAAATTCAAACTTATCAAATATTATTTTAGTTTTATAGTTACAATTGCACTAGAAATTTATGCACTTAATTTATATCAAAATGTAAATTGTTGTAATATTTAATATTAAGTATACAATAAACATAAAATACAAACTAATCTAAATTAACTGAATTACTTTAAAAAATAATAAAATTTATGGAAATTATGGACTTTAATGGAAATGTTTATAAAATAAAATGTTCATCAATTTAATTACCAAAAAAATTGGTCCATAGATTTTTTTTGACAATGTCTTAAAAATTGAATAAATATACAATTAAAAATGTGAAATAATTTATTGAATTTTTTACTTAAAACATTAGGTGATTAATGTATAAAAATAAATTGTTTCAAAATGTACTAGACAAGTCAAAGTTGCATTTAGTTCAATATAAATATAATTATTTATTACTTCATAAAAATTATCTTTAACATTTAACAATTTTAAATATAGTTTAGTTAATAAAATTAATTTTATTTACTCTATAAATTATATAGTTGAAAACATTATTAATAATTAGTATTAATTTCTAAATAACCCGGAACTTAAAAAAGATAATTATTCAATGTATTAATGAATTAAATGTAATTAATAATTATTAAAATCAAGTAAATTTATAAAATTCATAACTAACTTATTTATGATTTTATTTTTATTAATCTCATGAGAATAAACTTAAATATTTGTATTTTGTTACAATTTTGTAGAGACAACTTTCCCTAATGTTATACTAATATGATTACCACCAGGGTTCATTAAACCATTTATACAGTATTATTATTATACATGTTTATTATAATTGGTTGTATCAATAGTTCAATATATTGTATTATTAATAATACAGTATTATAGTTGTGTTTACCATAAATGTAAACTGAAACATCTTTAGTGCATCATATTATACTTTTAGTAATAAAAAAATAATAACATTGATATTTAATTATTATATTTAACAAAGAGCAAGAATATTACTGTATTTTTTTTAAATGGATAATCAATGTTATATTATGTACATATAGATAGTGCTTCCGATTGTATTCAATAGTAAATTACAGTGCAATAAAGTATATGTATTTTAGTTATTTTATTAATCATTTGTAAATGTAATTTATATATAAATTGTTGTTATCCTTAGATTTGTTTCCTTGTAATAGTAGTCAATGAATACATTGAATTATGAATGCTATTAATTAATATCGAATATATATGTAATTAAAAATAACTAATTTTAGTGAAAATAATATAATCTAATAATAATAAGTGATAATCATTGATAAAAAGTTCGCATTCATTGATGGACTAAATCATCGACAAAGACCCACAATATATATATATATATTGTAACCTTATTTGCACTGTTATGCCAACACATACATTGTACACCTGTGTGATAGGTATAGGCACAGACACTCGCAGTTTTTTTTGCAGATGAGATAATCAGTGATTCAATGGCATTATATTATAACTTTGAATTTGATTATAAAAGCTATAAAAGTACAGACAAACACTTGTGAGGAGAAGACGTGATTTGTTAAACAAAATAAGCTATCATTAGATTTTGTATTATTATTATTATATTTTTTTTGTTTTGAAACTTATTATTTTTTTGAGAATTACTTTTTTTTGTGAAAATCATGTAAAAAATTTCATTTGAATATAAAGTACTGAATATATAATATTATTTTATTGTATATATATATATATATATAAATACGAAAAGCGTTACCGAGAAATTCAGTTTCATTTTAATTTTTGCTTCACTTTATTATTTTAATTATCTTATGAGACATAAAGTCACACAACTGTATAATTAGAGTAAAGGGTCACCAAAAAAGTAGAGATATTATTATATAATACATTATTTTACTTTTTGTTTCCAAAAACACGTCTATTTTTATTGTATTACTTGTTGTTAAAACAAAACTAATAGTAAATGACAACAACTAATAATAATAATAAAATGAATAACACTGTCAATCAATTGATGTCAAACCATATCTGCTGTAATAATAATAATACCGATGAAAATGAATCAATTGAATCACTTAAGGATTATTTTGAGTAAGTAAAGCCATAAATATTTAAATTTGAATATTTAAATATAAATTTATTTTAATTACTGTTATTTGTCAATTAATATTAGTTAGTATTAGTATAAAAATTATTATTTTATATCAACGATATCTCCAAATTAAAAAATATAGATTTAAAAAGTTTTGCTTATTCACTACTTAAAATTCATTATTTTTTACTATTAGTATTACAAAATAAAACTACATTTAAGTATAAACTATTTCAAAAATATATTTAATTTATTTATTGCTATTATATTATTATTAGTTTAGTAATAATTTTTATGAATATTCTATTTATTCAAATGAATTATAATTTTTATTTTTAATATTCTATTCTATTATAAATTACTATTTTTTATAGTATATTAATGTTTTTTTTAAATATTTTAATCGATAATTAAATGACTATAAATAAAATTTCCGTTTCATTTAACACTGACCCATATATCTGTACTGTATATTAATATACACTAAACTATGAGCTCAGGTACTGTATATCGCCTTATAGTCCATTCCTCTCAATGTTACATAAATTAATTAAATGCGGAATCAATTATTCAATGTTTCAAATTCATGTTTCTATTTTTTATTTATTTAAATCATTCATCTAAATTTGATAATATTGTCATAATAATATTATCAAAAAATAATTATAAGTTTTTTTCCCTACAGTATTCATCGTATAATTATTCAGAAAATTATAAACTAAATTATATTTGGATTTACGACAGATATCTAGAAAAATCTATTATTTTTTCGTTTAATTTTTAAAAATTAGCATTTATTTAAGTAAATATTGTTATCGATTAATAAATATTACTATTTATTACACTTAGTTGTATTTGTTTAATTATAAGTGAAGTTTATTATATGTTTATGGACTTAAAAAATCATTTTATACTATTATGCAATATAACAAAATATTAATAGGTTTAATACATTTTTGAGGTCTATAATTGGCTAACAATTATTTGCAATAAAATGTTTGATAATAAAATCTATAAATATAAATATAATGTGCATCAAATAAATCAAATCACTATTTCATGTGATTTTTATACATTATATTTAAATCTTTAGCAATTATTTTCAAACTTCTTATTTCCAGTTAAATAGTTTTATTTATGTTTGTCTTTTTAATGTCACCGCATTTGATGATATGATTAAACCACTTAAATCAAACGTTATTTATCCAATTAAATATTTATCATAATTTAAACAATTAATTATTATTATTTTTATTATTATATTTAATATACAGAGCATAATAATATCGATTGAATTATACTGTGATATAAATAATATTACTAATCAATATAATTTTTTTATTATTAGTGCTCGTATTGTTGTCGTTCAATATAAACTTAACTTAATGTTATATTGTATGACATATACAATATAATACTGTATTAGCATTAAGTGTATTGAAATATATTTATTTAAATGACTTACATTTTGTATGACTCGTATAATTTTAAAAAATATATATTGATAGTGCATTTAAACAGACATTTAAAATCAATTTTAATATAAAAATTTGTGATCAAAACTTATTTTATTATATATTGTGTCAAAATGTCTTGTATAACGAATAGAATGTGAGTCCATATTATTTAATATTTTTATAATCAATAATTTAATTAACATTTAATTTAATTAATATAGAATTTTAAATATTTATTATATTAACGACTATGTCCTTCAACTTTATTTAGTAGTTATATTATTATTATTTAAATTGTTGTCAAATATCTATGATATATGTTGTTTGTAATTCAGAAATTTCCCGTATTTTAAAAAAATTGATTCACAATTGAGAAGGTCTTAAAAATTTACATAATTTCTAGTTTTGTATGTTTTATATGACAACCTTGTAATTAAATCTTTCATACTATTATTGTATAGTATGTTATTAATATTACACTACAATAAAAAAATATACAATATCTATGCAGTTTATAATTGAAATTATTCACATAATTTAGATATTACACTAAATTTAATTAAAATATATATTATATATTATTTCATAATAGGTTTAATACATGTATTAAATTGCAAATTACTAATTTCATACGTATAAACAACTGTTAAAATTTAATATATTATTCAATTATATTTTGGTTATTTATTATGCATATGTACAGTATTAGTATTAAATATTCTAGGTATATTGAAGGACATTACTATTCAACTAATTTTCAATATTGAAAGCAAAAATTTTTAAAAGATAATTTTCAAATCACAATATAATTGATAATAGTTTGAAAAAATATATATTTATAACCCAAAACGTGATTCCACAGTATTTTCCTTTTTTTCCATCAATCATTACGACTACACGTTTATATTGAAATTGGCATTACATCTATGCCTTAAACCATATGTTTGGCTTTACTATTTAATTAATAATAATTATTATTAAATTTTTAAGTTTGTTGAGTACTATTTTAGATATTTTTAAAAAAATATTATATCTTAATGTTGCACTCTTGATATAATTGATGTAATTCATTAAGTTAAGTAATTTTTATATAAAAAAACCATTTAAATGTCTGATGTACTGTACTTAGTGTACTATATTAAGTACATTACATTACATTTGAATTATTAGAAAACACAATCAAAATCATAATCAATGAACCATTGCTTTAGAATTTACGTATTTCCATAAGACAACCAATAAATGGCTATTTTCTAGACACAAATCTATATAATTATATATTAATTTTCATATGATATTAATAAAATTAAGGAAAATCATTAAATCAAATAAAAAAAAAATTTTAAAAGTTGATTATCTATTATGTAAATTATAAAATTGAATAATTTAGTTTTGACGTTTCGCTTAAAAAATCATTTATTGATATAATCATTATATTTATTGAATGCTTCAAAAAAAAACATTGATAATAATTTAATAATATTAATATACGATATTTAATTTGAGTATATTATTTTACAAAAGTATTGTCTTTAAATATTATCCATTTATATATATGTATATTTAATAATTAATAATACTTAATACTGTAATATAAATAGTATAAAATTATTTGACTGTTTTCAACAAAGATAATGATTACAAATATTAGCAAATTAAAACAAAAAATACATATAATTGTATGAAAATTGATAATTTTGATTTAATTTAACAACTTATTTTTAATTAATATATTTATTAATTATATATTTGTAGGCGCACCCGTAGTCTCAATGCACCCAGTCCTATTTATCAATTTGGACCCTGTGGACGTATCATGAAAAATTCAACTGTTGTAATGTAAGTTTATTTTTTAATTGCTTTTTTATTTTATTTTTTACAAATCATAACTAACATGAGTTATATAAATTTATTTGGAAAAAGTTGTTTGAAATATTAACCAAAAACTATTTAATCATATTTTATTTTAAAAGTTAAATACAATTTTTTAAATAGAAATTATTGTTATATCAATGCGTGTATTGATTTATCTATAGAGATGTACACAAATTAAATAATAATTGATAATTAATAGTGATTTTTGTCAGTTAAGATAGATTTGAGACAAACAGTTAGTTATATTAATAAATATTTAGTTGAGTTGGCAATGGATGTGTGGTTGCCATTCACCCACTGACCGAATTACCCTGACTTGTGGTGTACTTGAGAGTAGTAAGAGATCCACAGTCGAGGACAGACCTGAACTGTCACTTTAAAAACCAACCACATGTGCCGTCCATACCACTTGTTTTTGTTGTTGTTGTTTATGTATAACCTATAGCTTATGTATACCCATATCTTATTGGTTTCTTATATAAAAATCACTGTTTCCTTAACTCCAGTCATCTTATTTCACTTACTTTTATACTAATACTGAGGAGTGATATTAAAATCAATAAATAAGAAAAACTTGAAAACTTTTTTTTTAATAATAATAATAAAAGTCTATTTGTCTGAACTTGAATTTGTTTGTCAACAACATCTTAATTATATAACGATTTTAAAAACTGATAATAATTATTAGTTTTCAATACCAATTCCGCATAATATCCATATACTATACAACAACTCGACTCGATGTTTGTTAAACTTGAAATTTGATTTTCATAAACTATTTTTTAGTTATAATTTATTTTTATAAAAAAAACATTTGAGATAAATAAAAAAAACTTTAATCTAGTCTGACAACCATATTATTGTGGAAAATTGTTCACAAACTTAATCTTAAAATTAATTGTTAAATAAAATTGTTTTATCTTATCAATTTTAGCAATATTTTAATATATATATATATATATAATTTATTTATATGATTTAATTAGCTAATATAATATGTGGTAAATATTCAAATTTAACATTTGACTATCAAATTACATCAATGATTATAAAAAATTTCCAGAAAAATGCCCGGAACAATTAAATGAATTTTTATTACAATATTGTTTAATATACTGTATTATTATTATTGTTGTTGTTTTTTAATAATAAAAACAATAATAAAATAATCTGTAAATTCCCATAATATTTAAATATTGATTCATTATAATATAGCATAATTTGATAGCTTATATATTATGATATAAATAATTATCATAATATTATCAAAGAAAATCATGAATTGTTTTGTTTTTTAATATTTTGTTTAAAAAAGATACTGTATTTAAAACTAGTAATTATTGAAATTGTTTTATAAAATATTTTATATATTAATAAAAACAAAAATAATTCTAATAATATAGTCGCCAAATAGCATGTTTGGGTGCATTCATAGTTGAATTGATGTAATATACTATAAAATATGTAAAATATTTTATATACTGTTCAATAATTTGTGTATATATTAGTCGTGACTGACGTCCACAACAGAAACTGTTTTTATTTTATTTTCAATTAATCGTATTTATCGTATAATTTGCCCAAAAGTGTGAACAACTTGTCAATGAAATGGTGTTTTAAAAAAGACTAATTACTAATAGTTTATATATATATAGTTATAAAAATCATATAATATTAATAATAACAATAATAATGATATAGTAATATCTGTATAACAATTGGAAAACATTGTTTGTAGCCTTCATTTAGCTGATGGAAAGGTATGATAGGGCGGGCCATTGAACGATGCGTTTAGTGACTCTAATTAATTTAAAACATTATAACAAACATGCCTTCAAAACTATTTAAATGGTTATCATTTTTAGCATTAATTTTTTTTAATTAATCTGATATCATATATAGTTTTTTTTATTTTTTTAATAAATGATTTTTTTTAATTTTCAATAATAAAACACTGTCTCTCCCACCGGTTCCTACAATATATATTTGTGGACTATATATATAAGTTTATAAATGATACTAAATAATCATTATTATTTGAAAAAATTTTGTAAACAATTTTATCTCAAATAGTTGTTGTGTATTTAGATAAATATATATAAATTTATATAAAACAAGTTATTTGTGTTAATAAGTTTTTTATGACTTTTTAAATAATGAAGTTTATGAAATTACAAGAAAAAATATTATTGTAAGTAAAAGTATTTTAAAAATTATTGAAATGTTCTAAAAGTTTATTATGAAAATTAGTTTTTAATATTAATTGTTTGTTTGTTATTAATGATATTTTATACTATTTTTTAGGTAAGTAATTTTTAATTATTCTAAAATTATATTTTAACTATAATTTTTTCTATCTTAATTTATATATATATAAGTTTCCTGTAAATAAATTGTGTGAATTATGCATTTTAAATAATGATTATATAATTTTAAAATGTCTTGTTTATAGTTATGTAATGGGAAATAAAAATTTTAGTAAAACATACATAAAGTATTTATGGGGTAAATGAAAAAAAGGCGTTTGGGTTAACAAAAAGTTTTGCATTTTTTTTAATACTACAAACAAACAAAAAACTTTTTCGACACTTAATTATAAAGTATATGTCTCAATATTGTATTATTATTTTTTAAAATTTAAATAAATTATGTAATAGTATATATATATATATAATATTAATTAACATATAATTATGTATTAATTATTAATTGTTGTCTAATTAGGACAATCCAAGACCCGGCGAGTCAGAGGTTGACGTGGAATAAGCCTCCGATCAGTGTTTTGGTTATCAAAAAAATACACGACTCGCTGGTCATTCAGCCGTTCATTGATTTGATTCGTTGGCTTATTTGGGTATTTCTCACAAAAAAACTTTTTTTTTTAATTTAATTATTTTATTTGTCTTTTATATTTTCATTAATATTAATACAGTTGTGTGTGTGTTGTCTTTGATACTGTATATAAGTTTTTATTGGGCACTTCGACCCCCTTTTTTGTTGTTTTTGTTCCCAAGATTTGAAATAAATATATATAATTTATTTTAAATATTCTTATCATTATTATTATTATTATCTGTTTTTTTGAAATTAATTTAGGAAAAGAAAATGTCAGTCTATGTAGAATTGGCTGTCATGGATGACCCACAGCTTAAGAGTAACCAATTATTTCAACCATTCAAAGATAAATTGTGTACTTTTAAGGAGGGTATGGACGACCTGACAGATAAAGTCGATTTTATCATATGTTTGGGCGGTGACGGCACTCTCCTCTATGCTTCGTCACTATTTCAGGTATTAATTTAATTGACAGGTGTTTGTGTGTCTCCAGTGAGACATAAATTAAATTAATTAAACAAATATTGCACAAAAACAATAGAGAAATCAAATAATTAAAAATGATTACTTTATTATTAGAGAAGTCAAACAAGTTATAGTAAATAAATTTTTATAACATCTCAATAAAAAATAATATTAGATGTTATTGATAGCAATTAGATAACATAACCACAAAAAAAAAGAAAATATATTTGTTTACAATATTAATAATTAATTATTAAACAAAATCAATGATAACTAACTGTTTGTTGACAATACAAATGTGATGCCAAATAGCAAAGTGTGCCGCCAGTGATGGCCTTTCATTTGGGTTCTCTTGGATTTCTTACACCCTTTGAATTCGACAACTTTCAGGAACAGGTGTCCAATGTCCTCGAGGGTCTGTTTATTGTATTTGATAATTGTTTATTAGATTTTAATTTTTTGAATTTTACTATAACTTGTAGGTCACGCAGCACTGACACTGCGAAGTCGACTGCGATGTCTTATTGTCCGTAAAAATGAAACGATTTCAATGGTAGAGAAAACCAAACAAAATTCCTGTCATTTGGTACTCAACGAAGTAGTGGTAGATCGCGGACCGTCACCCTATCTGTCAAATATTGATCTATACATTGATGGCAAACACATAACAACCGTCCAGGGAGACGGTCTAATTGTATCGACACCTACTGGAAGCACTGCCTATGCTGTAGCAGCCGGTGCTTCAATGATTCATCCGAGTGTACCGGCAATTATGGTCACTCCTATCTGTCCACATTCACTATCATTCCGTCCAATAGTAGTTCCAGCCGGTGTTGAGCTCAAGATATGTGTTTCGCCCGACTCGCGTAACTCGGCCTGCGTTTCATTTGACGGCCGTAACAGACAAGAGATACAATTGGGAGACAGGTTTAGCATAATTACTATTATTATTATATTTATTATAAATAATATTTATTTAATATAACATTTTGTTAGTCTAAGAGTGACGACATCAATATTTCCGGTGCCATCGATTTGTGCCGAAGACCAGATCAGCGATTGGTTTGACTCATTGGCCGAATGTCTTCATTGGAATGTTCGGCGAAAACAGCGTCAGTTCGATGAATACTCGGATCTATTGCACAGTTCCAGCAGTGACTCACTCGACAAACATATCGATAGCTTAGAGAGTTAGTTGAAAGATCATTGTCACCGATCATCAACTTATTATCACAAATAATACAAGTTTTATATTAATTAATTAATTAATTAATTATTTTATATAAATATTTTAGTTATATATTTACAATATCTTATTATTATTATAATGTAATTATATATATATAAATTGTAATTATATTTTATCAATTTAATATCATTTTATTGCATATTTTTAAAAAAAAACTGTGTTTAAACTTTAAATATTTTAAAACATATCTTATTTTTGAATAATTTAAAAATATATAATACTGTATATGATTATTATAATAAATTAATAAAATAATAGATATTTTATTATTTTAAATGAATTTTATGATTTTGAAAATGGCATTCATATTGTAAATTTAAAACAATAAATAATTTTAGTATTCATCTTAATATTAGTACTGAATACTAAAATTTATGTAAATTATAATTTTTTTGCGAATAATTATTAGTATAATATAATTAGTATTAATTGAATGTTAGTTTGTTTGTATTGTTTTTCAATTTATTTATTTAATACTATTAAATAACAGGAAATATATTTTTCATATTAATATTTTCTAACAAATTATATTTTTAAAAATTGTAATAATAAAACAAAACTATTTTTTTTAAAAAAAACTTATTCTTCATCTCTATGTTTGTTGTCTTTGTCATTGTTTGGCTTAATTTTTGAGACATTTGTCTCACTGGCTTCTCCTTCATTGCGACTACTGTTGTCGTGATCAGCTGAGGCCGTCTTCTCCTTCTGTTTGTTAAGAAGTGCCACTTTTTCGATCATTTTTTCCAATCGTTGCACTTCATCGAAGTCTTTCTTCGAAGAGTACACCGGATCCACTCCTGTGTTGTACTTGTTTTCTGAATTTCTCATTTGTTTGACCACATCATAGTTGGACAGATAGTCGCGCTCATCAGCTTCGGAGTCAACCAAACCGCTTACTTCGTGGTCTCGCTGTTCGTATGGCTCCACAACAGGCTTTCTTCGCGGCCGTCGTCTGTCTTTATGGTATCGATGCCCACCTCTTACCGGTTGTTGACTGTTGGGATTTTCATACATTTTCTTTTCCACTTCATATTCATCAGAATCGGGAAAATTATGAATATTTCCATAATCACCATCATTTGGACTGTTGTCTGAGTCTTGGAGAGTATGAGCTAATGATTCCCTATAAGTAGGGTTCGGGTCAATACGTTCACCAAAATTTGTATTATCCATATTCTTAGTCAATGTATCGCCTTCAGGGTCATCCTTATCTACAGCCGTGTCATCCGTTTCAAACTCCTTGACCCCATCTGCGGCAAAATTACGTAAATTATCGAGAAATTTGTCAAATTTTTTGGATTCATCTATTTTTTCTTTACTAAATTGTTGAGCGTCTTCTGCAATACTCGACTGCAATTCTGGATCTTCCGATTCGGGAGCATTTTGCTGGAAATCAGGATCAGGATCTTCATGTTCCTGTCGGGGAGGGTTGTCGTCCATTTGCCGGTAATCTTTTCGTGGATCGTATTCACTTTGATAGTCTTCATCATCACGTTCTGGTTCTTCTAAAAACGGATACTCTTTTTCAGGCATACCGTTCTTTAATTGTCTTTTCATGAGATTCATTGCATTTTTATTTTTAGTCGGTTCGTGATTACTGTCGTCCTGTGGATAAAAATAGACTCTTTCTATGGCTTTATATATCTTTTTAGGCTTTTTAGTTGGTGTTTCCTGAGGACTACCACCACCGCCACCACCGCCATCACCGCCACCACCGCCACCACCACCACCTCCACCATCATAATAGTCATCAGATTCATCATTAGATAATTGTCTATATCGGGGGTCATCGTGTGCTTGTGGGGGTGGAGTTGGAGGTGGTGGTGGTTGACGCCTGAATGGTGGCGATTCATCCATATATTTGTCAAATTGAGGAAAGTTTGTTAATCCATCAAAATATGGTACATCAGGATTATACTCAGTTGCTGAAGATATTAGTGGTATAATGACTTCATTGCGTACATTAGAGGCCGTCAGAGGACTTGTTTGTTGAGTCGGTCGGCCTTTTGTTAAGTCATTTGATGGCTTAATAACAGCCGTCCAAACCATTAAGTAATGTATTGTTAAAAACAAAACAATTAAAATAATATTGTTCGTGAACTGTCAGTAAATTATAAAAATATGATAATTTTATGTTAATTTTATTTAAATTTACAGATTATACGGATATATCATATATCAAACATATCACAGATTTTTTTATGTCAATCAATCACTCGACTAATAACATAGACTTATAATTATAGACTTCAAACTCAACACATTTGATGATATATTTCATCCGTAAAAAAATATATTTGCTTTAAAATTATTGAGCCGATTGTTTGCTGTTAATATTAGCCTCAATTAACCAAATTGTAAATTATATACATTATGTTTCACAATATTGACGTGTTATTTACGTAATCAATAACAAATAAATTAACAATTTAAAATTATGATTAAAATTATGATAATGCTTAAATTTAAAATCACTTAATTTTGATAGTTTGTATTAACATAATAAAGTTTTTTTAAATGTACTATTGATATAAATTTAATATATCTATAAATCTAAATAATAAATATCTTACAATTTTAGTTAAATCATTTTAAATTAGATTAATACTAACTTAATTTCTAAAAAAATGTTAACACAATTAATAAAAACTATTAGTTTATAAAAATAATTAAATTAAATTTACTTTGCTTTACATAATATAACATATATCATATAATTTTTAAAGATATAAATTTATGAATTTTGTACTTACATTAATTAGCATAATTGGCACTGATTAATTAATTAATTAATTACATTGATTTAATGATAATAAATAAAGTAATGATTTTAAACATGAAATATAGTTATGAAATAAATAAGAAAACTTTTAAAATTTTTGTTACATATCTTTATATACAACAATAATATTGTTTTGAATCAATTTTATATTCTGTTAATTTTTACTTTTAAAAACCACTATTTTATGTGAAAAATAAGTTATAAGTTATCAAAAACAAGATAATGGTTACTAACAATCAAATGGTGTGTTCAAGTGTGACATCAAGTTTTTGGCTATATTTTAATTGTAATTTAAAATTACTGTTTTAATACAATGTTTTTGATATAAATATTATATAAAACTAAATTTATATAAAATTTAGATTATTTTTTATTAAATTAAAGTGAGAGGAAGTGCCATACACTGCGGGAACAGTTGTTTTTTGGTTAATTGTCATCTCATTTATTGTAATACCATATATATTATACATGTTTAGTAAATAAGTGCTAACTAGTGAAACAAATGCGGAAATATAATATCAAACTAATAGACCATCGATTCATTTGATTTAATATTATTACTATATTGTAGTCAAAGCTAATTATTTTTATAATTTAGTAATTGATGGTTTATTTGTATTTTATATAATTAAATTGTTAGTTATTACAAATTGACCATTAACTTTAACATATTAATTAAATAACTCGTTTGTAATAGATTTAAATTTTAATAATAAAATTCATACAATTAATACTATAACAAAATCACTTTAAAAATATGAATATATAAATATGATTATATAAAATAAATTGAGTAATATTAAATCAACATTTGACATATTTTATGATTATAAGCTATTATATAAAATGTGTATATATTTATGGTTATATAGTATATCAATTTCATAACAATGCTAAAAGCAAATTAAATTGAAATTAAGATAATTTTACAAAAAAAATGTGAAAATTTATATAATGGCTATTGATATCCGGGTAAAGAAATGTGTCCACTATTAACCAGACGTCTCAATATACTAATCGGCAAATGAATTATTTTTAAATCCATTTTTGTCGGATCAAACTCTTCGGTTTCATAATGATCTCCATCAATGACTTTTGTGGCCAAACCATACATTTGGTCGTTTGATTTGCCATTACTGGCGCTTTGAATGTCCGGCTTTGGTGTAACCGATAAACTTTTATAGTCATTGTTTTCATCACATTCCGGATCATCAGAAATACTATACTCTTTGGAAGCGCTCGATTGGATCGGATATGAAACAGAATTTACAGAATTGTAACTATTTTTCGATTCTGTTATCGGATTAAATGAATTTATTAAAGTATTTTGATTTAAATTATACGGATTATGTAATAAATTTTGATTAAAATGATTTGTTGTCGTCGGAGGAGTAAAACTCTTTTGATTAGCATAAGTGATAATAGGCTGAAAGTTTGTATTATAATTAGTTGATGGTATGGATTGTATATTTTGATTGTAACCATTTGGTGGATCAGCAATTGAAGAATATAGTGATGGATTACTTACTGATGAACTAATAGGCATTGGTTTACTAATAGTTGCAAAATCATTATCGTAGTTATGTTTATTGCTAACAGGTCTCGAAGTTTGATGTGATTGTGTATAAACTACTGGTGAATATGTGGGTCGGGTTTCATAAGGCTTTGAATATGAAAATGACTGAATTTCAGCCGATTTTGGAACAGTTGTATCGTAATTGTTATTATTATTATTATAATTGAAATTTATGTTTTTTATCTCCGGTTTTTGAGAATAATTATTGTCTGAATCAATAAAACGAAATTCCATATTATCATCAGTTTTATCATTTTGTGTTTGCTCTGGACTAGTATTTTGTGCATACCTTTCCATAGACTTACTTTTATAATCATCTCTATAATTATAGTTGATATCAATTGGTGGATAATTTGCAAAACTATGTGCTGTCGGCTCTCTTTTTGCATCAGAGTTGGTATAAAATGAATCGCTGTTTCCATCGTTATCTGAATTATCATTAGTCTTACCATAATATTGATTATTATTATTATTGCTTTGAATGTTGCCATTAGTTTGCAAATCATAGAGATTAGGATTTTGTTTTCTTTGATCTTCAATCAAATAACTTTGGGAAGTCATCGGTCTTAATGGTGTAAACTTATTGTGTGTATCCGTGTTATGATTTGAATTACTTATTTGATAGACATTGGATCGACTTTGTTGAGGAACAGTTGGCTCATTGAATCCATTTCCTTCCGATTCATTTGCTGTCAACTCTTCCCTATACTTTTGTTTATGAGATTCTTCTTTTGGATAATATTTTTGATCCAATATTTTTTGTTGCGTTTGATAGTGTTGTGTCGTATAATTAGATTTGATTTCATTGACATTATTTTTTATTGATTGTTGTTTAGTATCGGAATTGCTGTTTGTATCCAAATGTTTATTATTTTGGACATCTGTTTGCATAAAAGCCGATTGCAATAACTCGACAATTGATGGATATTTAGAAGACATTGGATTTCTGATATATAGAGGAATGGCAACTATGGTTGGCTGAGAGCCAGACTTTAAGCTAATTGTCGACAAATTCTCCATATTTGGTGCCGAAGAGCGTCTTTGAAAAGCTGTCTTCAATGGTATCGACGGCACTAATCTCGATGTAATGCCGGACATTGTCTTAGGATTTTGTTGTTTGACTTCACATAAACATAACTCTTTAGTTATCATAAGCCACACAGTTATCAACATAAAAACCTAAAATAAAAAAGTTAAACATTATTATTATTATATTTAAATATATATATTATTTACAAATATAAGTACCTTTGAAAACATTTTGACATTTATTTATTTTTTTTAAAATTATCACTTCTCTAAACACTGAACAAACAATGAATGTCAGTAAAACTAAATAACTAAATAACTAAATAAGTAAAATGTGTGAAAAGTCGTCTAAATATAAACATTTTTTGGTTAGTTTAAGGATTGAATAGTTTAATCGATAACAACAAGAAAGAGTACATCAATTGCTGGTTAAACATAATTATGGCCTTTATTTGACATCCAATCACGTTATCATCAATTTTATTAATTATGAAATAATCCACTCTTTAATTTGATTGAATAATTGTGTTCACGACAACCACATTCAGTTCATTCAACTATCCAATTGTGGCACAACTATTATCAATTGGTATAACCATCTAAAGCACTGGCCTACTAAACTTGAACTATCGTGTTTGGATAGATAAAATTTATATAATAGCAAATATCTTAATCAATTTTTTAGTAACTTATACTCTTTCATCTAATATAGTTGTCAACTATTCTAATAAACTATATTATTAATAATTTATATTGAAAATAAATTTTTATTTAATATATGTAAATTTGTTTCTAACATATAGTGTGATATATACTGGTATTAGTTTATTGAATAAAATTAAATGAAATTAAATGAAATTGATTATTTTAAAAATACATATAAATTATATGTTATACACAATTATTTTTAAAGATGAAAACTAATCAAATTTACTGAACATATAATTTCCATCTCTTTTAAAACTCATTGACAGACATTCAATAATGTTTTGTTGGGCATTGAATGGCCAAACATTAAAATATTATTCAAACAATATTAACAATTAGATTCAGTTATTAATTATTTTTATAATAGATTTAATAAATTATACATTAAATATTTGAAGAATAAAAGGCTAATATTAATTTCTAAGACAACAAATAACATAAAGTTTGATAAATAAATAAATGGATTTAAGATTTAGATAACATTTAGGATTTAATGTCACTATTAATTTAAGTTTTAAATTAATAATTAATAGATTAGCTATAAAATAATGATCATTAAGTCATTTTGGTCGGACTCATCATTTTTCTATAGACAGACAATCCGGTCATTGTGTTTGAGTTGGCAACCGTACATATACTTGAAATAAGTCATCAATGAATCAATGAATCAATGAATAAGTATATTTTAAATTTTCATTTTTATTCAAGTATATTCATTTTTAACAATTAGTAGAAAAACAAATGCAATAATATAAATATAAAAATAATACACAAAAATAATAAATTACGATAAATTAATTAAAATTGCATCAATGTTAAATTGTTCAAAACTTGAATGCCTTGTTATTGGAATAAATAACTATTAAAAAATAATGTAAGTATAAAATAATATACTTGTTTTTATCATACTTTTAAAAATTACAAAAATATTTATAAAATTTAATTTCATTTACAATTAATATAGTATTGCAAATAAATAATATTTATTAAATTGTAATACTGTATGATTACATTAAAAATATTTTGTATCATTTGTTTATTTTGAATCAATTTATTTTAATTTATAATAATGCAATTTAACTGTTGGTATATATTGAAAATATATTGTATTGAATATTTTGTAATATTGTAAATCCTCTCAAAATATCTCATACATAACCACAAATAAAAGTAAACCAAAAAACTGTTAGTTTATAAATTTAAATACAATATTGGATACAAAGTTTGGACTCCAAACAGATATCTGTCCGCTTAAAGACCTGAGTTTCCGGTGAATATTAATTGTAAATGAAATTTAAATTTTTATAATTATATGCTGTCATATCAACAATACATTGAATAAACTTACAAAAATAAGTTATGTTTGGTATAAAAGTTTATATATTATATATATATTTAAAAAGTTTTGTTATTAAAATGTGAATTTCCTGAAAGTAGTTTTTTAAAATATATTTTTTATCAAAAAATATGTTGCAATATATGATAAATTATTTTATTAGTAATAAAAATTAATTAAACAGTATATATATATGATATGTAGTTTAAAAAAAAGTATAGGTATAATTAAAACATTGATTGTGTAACAGGTTTTTAAATTCATTTAAAATGCAATATAATTTATATATATAAACTATAAAAATATATAATATACGTATAATACTGTAGTATATTAATATCACTTAATGTAATATGATTTGACATAATTTTTTTTATTATATACAGTATAGAATAAGGTAATAAATATACAAATTTCTATTTAAAAAATAATATATAAATTAAATCAAAGAAATTTGATTAGTTTAGACATTATACTGTGATAATTGTCTGTTAAAAATCACTTATCGTTAACTCTAAATGATTTGACTTTACTTTTTTTAGCATACATTTCGTGAGATTTTAATTTATATTGAATTTATATAATAATACTTTTTTTTAATATAAATCTAATTATGACATAATATGTATTTAGCGTTCAAAGTGAGTGACATTTTTGTGAAATCATTGACAACAAAATTGTGGACTCATTTTATGAGTTGAAACTTCTCTATGAAAGTCAGGCTTTAATCCAATAAAACCAAATATTTAATGTGTTTTTTTCAAAAACAAAAAATATTTGTTGAAATTTTTTTTTCTCTCTGAAAGTTTCCATAAATTTTAAAACATTTCATTAATCACAACATGTGATCAAACAAGTCGGCGACGTTTCAAAAGTTACTGTATATATATGTACTGTACATGTAATGTAATTTATAAATTATAATTTATAATACAGTAGAGCAGTGGCGACATTGATAACTGGATTCATAAATAAATATATATTTTTATTGAAACAAATACCTTATAAATTATATTATAATACTACTAAATAATTAAAATTTTAAATGCCAATGTAAAAATGTAATTAACCAAAAATAAAATTTTATCATACAGTGTAGTACATTATCATAGATAGTAACATAGACTCATTTTTCAAGTGATACCATAATCTCAAATATACACTTAAATATTATACAGTAGTAGAAAATTATATATAGATTTTAAAATAATAATATTTTCATATAAATCAGATAAGGCGTAAAAACTGTGGTATATTATAGTTAAATTATTATAATACTTAAATGCTTTAGTAATTTTAATAAAATGGTGTATCATTTATAACTTTCTATGTTATCTTTGATCCAAAAAATTGACATTTAAATTATTGCTTTATATTACCAACAAAAAAAATCTTAAAATAATATTAGGATATATTACTACTGATTTTTTAAATGCTTATGTGATATGCTGTATTTATATATACAGTATATATATATATATATATATATATATATATATATATATATATATATATATCAATTAATTTTAATAATCAATTTTAGATAACCATAATTAGTCAAATATAAAAATAAAAGTAAAAACACTTTTTTAAAAACAACTAATCAAATATAAATTATAGACATTCAAACAGTGGAGACAATTTATACATTGAAGATACTGTAGTATTACTTTCAGTCAATAGTTATTCCTATACATTGAAATTATTTTTTAAAAATAAAATACAAATGTAATAAAAAATGTGAGATTTTTAAATGCATTTGTTATTGGGATTCATGTGACATATGTTATCACAACATTAACATTGAACACAACGCATGATCGCTAACATTGCTATAACAAAAAATGCCCCCAAATATGGCCCCTATTTGACAAACCTCTCGGTTAACCCCTCAAACACACACCGCTTTGCTTATGTGGACGACTTTTCTGGACAGAACCTAAAATAATAAAATTTACTGTAAAAAAATTTAGGTTTTCAATGATATTTAATATATTCCAGCGAGTGATAGGAGAAAATTATTTGATATTATTAAATAATATAAAATAAAATATAAAATATTATATTAATAAAAAAATATTATTAAATATTAATATTATTGTATTAATTGACGTAAAAATAATTGTTTATTCAGCGATAATTTCAACTAATTTTTATTATTATAACACAATTATTGTATGATAGTTATCATGTAATTCAACAAAAAATTAAACACAAATTGACTGTGATATTATTATTATATTATTATAATTGTTAAAAATAACTTATCTTTTTATTATTATTATTTATCAACGATAATGAAATCATTTTAATAATAATAATTAAAATTATTGTTATCTAAATATGTAGTGAATTATATGCGATAATAATAATAATAGTTAAGCGGATTCTCTATTGAATAAAACAATATGCGCTAAAAACATGAAATTTTAATTAATATATTAATTTTTTTTATTTATTTATGATTGTAATTAAAGAGACAAAACTATATAATTATTATATATTAATAGCATTGTTGTCGACATTTAGTTTTATTTGGCTATTGATTTGTCAAAGTATTGACAAATTATGACTAAATCTGATGTCAATAATAAGTCTCAAAGAGTTGGTCCGCCGCCCATCAGATATGGAATTAATTATGTTAACCCTGAAGAAGAGGATCAGATGGTAAGTGATAGTCAGACAGACAAATAAAATATGTTTTTGTTTAACCGATTGGTGTCTTCAGGAAATCTATGGCTTCAAACCCGACTTTTTCCGTACATTCATCACATGGATTGGGATAATCATGAGTTGCGGACTTTTACGACTCGTCTTTCACTGGAAACCTCATTGGATGCTCTCATGTACTCACGTCCGATGTCCTCTGGATTGTGCCAAAAAAGTATTACTTATTGTAAGTATTTGATCCCATATTTTTTGTTGGATGAACAACACCAACTCATCCGGTAAATCATTTGTGACAAAATTAGGATCAGTTTTTGCAAAAGTTTACCGAAGATATCAAAAACTTGTCGACAAATCTATTGCAATATCAATACTCTCAGTCAACAGAGAGTCTTGAAGTGGCCGCTAATAATTCAGAGACAACTAATAGTCTGGTAATACCGAAGCCCAGGGGTGTCTTCGAGTCGACCAATTCTTTAACATATTTTGAGAACAAAAAGGTTCGCTATGTCTGGGATTCTGATGAAAGAGTTTTTTTCAAAGTTCGTGGACTCGATTCTGACATTTATTGTTCATATTTTTACCAACAAAAAGGTCTTACAGCCGATGAACAGGAGACCAGGTATGTGAAGACATGTGAAGATATTTAATGAGAATTTTTTTAAGGATTTTAATCATTTTTAATTACTTTTAAACAGACGAATACTTTACGATGAAAATGCTATTGTCGTTGAAATCAAAACTATTTTTCAAATTTTAATACAAGAAGTTTTGGAACCGTTTTATATTTTTCAAATCTTCAGTTTACTTGTCTGGGGTTTAGACGAGTATTACTATTACGCCGCTTGTATTGTCATTATGTCCGCCCTATCACTCACATCGAGCGTCATTCAGACCCGCAGAAATCAGAAACAACTTCGGGATACCGTCCAAGGGATGGACACTATTAATGTTTGTCGCGGTAATGATATTTATGAAGAGATCGAATCATCAAAGTTAGTCCCGGGAGACCTCATAGAAGTACCGGCTTTCGGATGTATTATGCAATGCGATGCCGTTCTCCTCACGGGTAATGTGATTGTCAACGAATCAATGCTAACCGGTTTGTTAAATGATATATACCTTAATTTTTATGAAATAAAAACTGATAACCAATTACAGGTGAGAGTGTTCCGGTGACAAAGACACCGCTTCCCAACACTACCACTGATGAGTTATACGATACTAAAGAGCACGCGAAGCACACAATATTTTGCGGCACAAAAGTCATTCAAACTCGTTATTATAATAATGCAAAAGTCAAAGCAGTTATCATTAGGACGGCATACCAGACGGCTAAAGGAGAACTAATCCGTTCCATAATGTTTCCCAAACCCGTCGACTTTAAACTCAACCGACACATCCACAAGTTTATCGGTTGTTTGGCTGTCCTGTCATTTATCGGGTTTTTATATACAGTAGTATTAAAAACAATTCGAGGAGTTCCCTGGCATAAGATTGTCTTGAAGGCTCTCGATTTGATCACTATAGTGATACCTCCAGCACTTCCAGCAGCCATGACAATAGGTGTGGTGTTTGCACAGTCAAGATTGCGCCGATCAAACATATTCTGCATATCTCCCCGATCTATAAACATCAGCGGTTGCATAAATTGTGTCTGTTTTGATAAGACCGGTACACTTACTGAAGATGATCTTAACTTTGCCGAAGTTGTTCCCGTCGATATCGATAAAAATAAATTTGATTCAGCCGTCGATGTACTCACAGATCTAGATTACGGACCACTATTGGTATGTCTGGCGTCTTGTCACTCGTTAACCATTATTGATGACAATATAATTGGTGACACATTGGACCAAAAGATGTTTTACGCCACTGAATGGATACTAGAAGAGCCTCAAGTGAGCGATACGACTAAATATGATTTGCTCGCTCCGACTGTTGTCAAACCTAACAATAAGGAATTGGGTCCAGAAGTCGGTATTCTGAGACAATTTCCATTTTCATCTAGTCTTCAAAGAATGTCTGTTGTAACCCGTATGACAAACGGCACTGAATTTGAATTGTATGCAAAGGGCTCTCCAGAAATAATATCGTCTTTATGTGATCCAAACTCACTGCCAGAAGATTTCACGGACACACTTATGGAGTACACGGAAAAAGGTTTTCGTGTCTTAGCCTTAGCTTATCGTCCATTACCTGCTCTGACGTACCCGAAGTTGCAAAGAGCCGGTCGTGAAGATCTCGAAAAGAATTTACAGTTTTTGGGTTTACTTATTATGGGAAATATGTTGAAACCAGAAACTACTCCTATCATTGAGACATTATTGTCGGCTAATATTAGGACTGTTATGATAACCGGTGATAATATGCTAACAGCTCTCAGTGTTGCGCGTGAGTGCAATATGATTCAGCCCTACCATAAAGTAGTACTTCTTGAACCCGATTCTACCGGTTATTTGGATAATAGCGATGAAATGCCGACATTGGTCTGGAAATTTGCAAACCCGGTGACCAAACGTAGAACTTCTATTGTTAACTTCAAGCTCGTCGAGGGTCAGGACAATGATAGACTACATGTAGCCATCACTGGCAGGACATTCAAAATTCTTAGAGACCATTATCCCGATCTCTTGAATAAGGTTGCCATTAGAGGAACCGTATTCTCTCGTATGGCACCCGAACAGAAACAACAGTTAGTGGAATTACTACAGGAATTAGGATATATTGTAGGAATGGTAAGTGTTTGTCATTTTTAAAAAATAATTATCATATAATATGACTTTTGATCAATAATTAATGCTATTATTGTAAAATGTTAGTATAAATTATACATTTTTATTACTATAAATTTACAGTGTAGTATAAACTTACCGTTAAGTATATTTTTTTGAACTTTAATCTAAAATATTTACACATTTTGAAAGGATGTTTTAACAAATTAATATGATTTTTATGATTATTTTTTTATAATATGACATAAAAAAAATATTAAAATTTATTAATTAAACAATATTATGAACAATTATGAATTTTTATGAGCACTATTTGTGATATTGTTCAAACTAATTAGATTTAAGCTTTTTATTTATATGACAATTAGAAACTAATAAAACTTGTAATTAATTAGTGCGGAGATGGAGCTAATGATATGGCAAGTCTAAAGCAGGCACACGCAGGGGTCAGTCTATCGGAGGCCGAGGCATCAGTGGCCTCACCGTTCACATCAAAGACACCGGACATCTCGTGTATTCCAATACTGATACGAGAGGGCCGGGCGTCGATTGTCACCTCATTTGGTATATTGAAATATATGGCTCTTTACAGCTTAACTCAATTCTTCTCCGTCATTATCCTCTATACGGTAAGTGTTTTCACCATTTTTTTAACCATCATTTGAATGAAATGCAGAAATCTAACGATCATTGCTTTCATTTATTTGAAGTTTTATTCCAATTTGACTGATAAAGAGTTTCTATACGAAGATCTCTTTCTCATAACTCTTTTTGTTACACTCTGTAAGACAACATTTATAATAATTGGAAATTTAAAATATTATAATTATAAACCCGTAAATTGTTTTGTCTGTATCGGCAAACAGTTGGCCGCAGCGAAGCGTTTGATCAATTGAATCGTAAACCGCCGCCGTCTTCACTCATTGGAATCACTCCATTGTCTTCCATAGCGTTACAAATACTTTTGGTGGCATTCATTCAAGTGATTGCCATTGTTATCGTTTGGCAACAATACTGGTATCGGCCACATGTGACCTCTGACCCCGAAGACTTGGCCAGTCATGACAATTACGCCATATTCGCCTCCTCTGTCTTCCAGTACATCACACTATCGGTTGTTTTCTCCAAAGGAGCGCCTTATCGAAAGCCTATTTACACTAATCGTAAAGATATTAAAAAATTGTTGTCATTATTATAACATTTGATATTAAGACATATATTGATTGTTTGGCAGATCTTTTTACACTCGCTCTGGTTTTGTTGACAATACTGACCATATATTTGGTCGTATATCCAACCGAATGGATCGCAGAGTTTTTGGAGGTTTGTCTTTGATTATGAAATAAATAAAAATAAATAAAATTAATTGATGTTATAATTGATATCTACCTGTAGTTGGATATTAGATACGTTCCGTACAATTTCCGTATATTAATGGTTTTGTTAGCCGTCGCTCACTTTATTCTGGCCTTCTTTGCTGAGGTCTGTTGTCTTTGTGAACAAAAATAATAATTTTTTAAAAACTAATTCAATTACAATTGAAATTGCAGTCATTTATTGTCGATTTTCTGGTATTCAAAAAGTTGCGAAAATGGTTTCCCTCGTTATCGCCGTCTGAATCTCTATATAAAGAAATCGATAACGAAACCAAACACAATACCCGATGGCTGCCAAATCCATTAGCCGCTTATAATAAGCCTCACCGTCGAAACGGGTCCACCTTTTCGTCGTCCATTAATCAGAACGCCGGAAGTGAACTGTTGGGCAAAAGTTCGCCGCCAGAGTCGGGCGTTTGGACACAGTCTCAGGCCTCGTCTGTGAGTCCAATAGTCTTAAGAGGTAGTAATAACAACAACGATGTCCATCACAAGCCCATTGTCTAAAAAAATGTTACAATCATTGTATCGACCATTTAGGTAGTCAAATGAAACACGAGCTCAACAATTGATCGATAAATTTATGGCTTATCTCATTGATAGGGATAATACATTAGTTAATTGTTTTTTTTAAAGTAATAGTATAAGTAAATAAATTTTATTGCATATTTAATTTGTACTTATAATATATAAAATATTAATAATCATTTTTAATAAAATCAAAATCAAGAATATAATTTATATATAAATATATATATATATATATATACTTTTTATAATTTAATGGATTTTTTTTTGTAAATTATAGCAAAATTTAATAATTATATACATTTTATTGTCAAATCATAACTGTTTTTGTTAAAATGTTTTATCAGAAATGTTTTATTTATGAAATAAACTAATTTTTGAATAAATAACTATGAAATTTCTAATTGATTTAAAAATTAAATGATTAATAAATTAAAGCATTAAAAAAATATGTTAATGTATGCTATTATCGGTTATTGAGTATAAATATCCCGAGTCAATAATATATTAATTGATCATGGTAATTATTTATTAGAAAAAATAAATTATTATTATTTATATAAAACTAATTGTTAATGTCTGTTAGTGTCCTAGACACTTTTTTGTTGTTGGCTTAACTATTTTTATGCATATATTTGGTATATTTAGATAAAATTTTTAATTATTGATATGATTAAAAAATAAAATTACATTAAATTAAGATAATTATGAAAAATTATTAGAATTTAATTAAATATATTACTATAGTATTACATTATTACAGGCTTACTGTACGGGAAAGTACGGTATTATCGGCCAGTAATCAGATTTTTCATTTCAAGATCTGCGGGAAAAATGGTCTAAAAAAACTATTCGGTAAATAAATATTTACGTAAATTACCGATAGTTTTATTAACAAAAAATTATTGTAAACTGATTTCTTCTACTTTTATGACAAACATACAGATCTACTGACATAAGAAAATCTACCGAAACATACAAACCATATAATGATATAATGAGAGAAAGTACTAACAAATCAAAGAAATATTAATAAAACATATGATAATTATGTAATGTTTTTATAAAGACATTAATATCTTAATTATTATCTAAAATAATAATAGTTTTCAATTGTTTTTTAAATACAAATAAATATTATTTAAAAGACTATTACTATTGACGTCATTAGTGTTGTGTTGTCTCACATGTGATGACGTGTTTTGAGACTATAATTGAATGACTGCTGAGTTGTTCAAAGAGTTTTGACTCAACTGATTGGTGTTCAATCAATAATAGCCGTAACCACTGGTCACCCGTTGTTTACCACCGAAATGGCCAATTCATTGCAAGATTTTATCGAGAGTTCGGAGGACGTGGACGGCGTCCGATTCGATTGGAATGTATGGCCGCAGACTAGAGTAGAGGCGGCGAAGATTGTCATACCATTGAGCTGTTTGTTTACGCCGCTCAAGGAGTCGACGACCCGACCGCTGCCGACCGTACAGTACGAACCAGTGCTTTGTTCGCGACAGAACTGCAGAGCAATTCTTAATCCTTACTGTCAGGTAATAACTGACCGACAGATGAATCGCACGGTGTTTGCAATTAAACTAATGTTGTGTTTATTTTTGTGGTCAGATTGACTTCAGAGCTCGGATGTGGGTCTGCAACTTCTGCTTCAATCGTAACGCATTTCCCGCTCAATACGCGGCCATCAGTGAGAGCTATCGTCCGGCGGAACTCCAGTACACGACACTCGACTATACCATACTTCGGGGACCGGTTGCCGTTCCGCCGATTTTCCTCTATGTTATCGATACGTGTATTGATGAGGAAGAGTTGGCGGCTCTTAATGGCACAATTCAGATGTCACTATCGCTTTTGCCGCCAAACGCTTTGGTCGGACTCATCACTTTTGGCCGAATTATCAGTTTATGGGAATTAAATGAAAATTGTTTGAGAAGTTATGTATTTCAGGGCAGCAAAGACTATACCGCAAAACAAATACAAGAGTGGTTAGGACTGAATCCAACACAAGGACAGACACCTCAGCCTCAACAACAACAACAACCAAACGCTCCGAAGAATAACGCATCGAAATTCTTGCAACCGGTCTCTGACTGTGACTCTGTTTTGACAGATATTATTGAACAATTGACTCGTGACCTCTGGCCAACAGCACAGGGCAAGAGACCGATTCGTTCCACTGGAGCTGCTTTGTCTATAGCAGTGAGTTTGCTTGAAGTAGCGTATCCTAACTGTGGCGCCCGTATTATGCTTTTCATAAGTGGCCCGTGTACTACCGGACCCGGTATGATCATCGATGACGACTTGAAAAATACTATTCGCTCGCATCATGACATCGAAAAAGATAACGCAAAGTACATGAAGAAAGCCATTAAACATTACCAGGCATTGGCTCAGAGAAGTGCTGTCAATGGCCATACTATCGACATATATGCCTGTGCTTTGGATCAGACAGGTCTTCATGAAATGAAATACTGTGTCAATTGCACGGGTGGACTCATGATTATGGGCGACTCATTTGATTCGAGTCTTTTCAAGACATCCTTCCAAAGAGTGTTCGCCAAAGATGCCAAAAATCAACTGAAAATGGCGTTCAATGGAATACTCGAAGTTAAGACTTCACGAGAACTGAAAGTCTCGGGTGCTATCGGTTCGTGTGTTAGTATGAATGTTAGGAATCAATACGTTTCCGACACTGAGATAGGTATTGGCAATACTGCTCAGTGGAAGTTCTGTTCAATGCATCCGACAATGAGTACGGCCTTCTATTTCGATGTCGTTCAGACACAAGCTGTGGCCCAACAACAGCAACAAAGAGGATATATTCAGTTTATAACACAATATCAGGGAACTGATGGTTTCCGTCACGTCAGAGTCACGACAGTCGCCCGAAATTTCGGTGCCAATGATTATGCCTTCGATCAGGAGTGCTCTTGTGTTGTCATTGCACGACTGGCCTGTCATAGGGCTGAAGTCGAGTCCAATGGTCCGGACATACTTCGATGGCTCGATAGGAATCTCATTCGTTTGTGTCAAAAGTTTGGTGAATACCGTAAAGACAGTCCCGAATCGTTTCAATTGTCGTCAAACTATTCAATGTTTCCGCAATTTATGTTTCACTTAAGACGCTCTCAATTTATTCAAGTTTTTAACAATAGTCCCGACGAAACATCATTTTATAGACACGCCCTGTTCCTCGAGGATTGCTATAACTCGCTTGTTATGATTCAACCGACACTATTGGCGTACAGTTTCAATGAGGCCACACAAGCAGTCTTATTAGACACATCATCCATACAACCGGAACGCATACTATTGATGGACACATTCTTCCACATTGTTATATTCAGAGGCGAAACAATCGCCGCCTGGAAGAAACAGGGATATGACAAACAACCCGGATATGAGGCATTCGCTCAGCTTCTGGAGGCACCCATTAACGATGCCAACGACTTAATGATGACCCGATTTCCATTACCACGCTATATAGTTTGCGATCAGGGATCATCGCAGGCACGGTTCCTGCTTTCTAAAGTTAATCCATCGCTAACACATAACACAACTATGGGCTATTATGGCGATCCCAATGCCGGCGCATCAGCTCCGGTACTCACTGACGATGTCTCACTTCAAGTCTTTATGGAACACTTGAAGAAGTTAGCCGTTAATTCTAGTTCCACATAAAATAATAAATTATTTTTTTAGTGCTTTTTGTGGTTACAATTTGTTATTATATCTAAAATGGCCAAAAAATATCCGTATTTTGCATTCATAAGCAATTTATTATTTAATTTAATTTTATAATTATTTAGTCAAATATATATTTCGGTAGTTTTTAATTTTTATATTAGTTAAATAAACTGCATATGAGTGATAATTTACGGATATTTTTGAATATATTGTTTCCTTATTTATAAATTATAAGACACTAATAAAATAAGAGAATGTTTTTTTTATTTATGAAATGTATTTAATGATGATTTATATTGAAATGAATAGCAAATTATTTTTAATGTTAAAATCATAATTTAATTATTAATAAAATATATATACTTTCTCTTTATTTTCTTAAAATTTAATGTTTAAAACTTCGTTTTAAAATCATTTTCTTTTTCTCGCCTTTTTTAATATAAATCGATAACTTTTTCAACGCTTTCTCGTATTTAGTCATAAATGGCTTTAACTCCGAGTCTTTGATATTAATTTTGTTGATATTTAACTCGTTTTTGTCTTTACCGGTATTTTCACCATTTTTATGAACTCTTCGCGATATTATAGTGAAGTGTCCCAATTGATTGGGTGTCAGCAATGTTATAGCAGTTCCCGTATTTCCCGCTCTGGCCGTTCGTCCGATACGATGAATATATTGCGTATCATTGCGTGGCGGGTCGTAACAGATGACACAATTGATGCCATCGATGTCCAATCCTCGGGCAAATATATCCGTACAGATTATTAAATCTATTTTTTCACTAACAAATCGTTGCAAAACTCTTTCACGTTTTTTAGCCCACAGTTTGGATGAAAATTCAGTAATCACTAGACCTGACATTTCTTTTAATAACGAAAAAAGTCGATGACTGTTCTCAACAGATCCAGTAAAACACAATACTTTTTTATATTTCAAAACTTCCATTAAATATAATACAATTAATGGTTTTTTGTCTTCTTCGATGATAATCATCTGTTCATTTAGTTCTTTAGGAATCAAATGACTTGTTTTAGTAATTAATTTAATATTATTAGACGTTATACTGTCAGTCGACTCAATTGAAGCCATAAACAAAATCGGTTGAAATAAAGATATAAACTTTAATTTTTCCGGATCTGTTGACAATGTGGCCGAAAATAGTATTTTATGAATCGGTTTACAATTAATGGATGTCTGACAACAACAGCACTCATTTGAGATATTATATCTGGAAATGGATTGGTCTTCGCTATGGTGATCAATAGTACAAATACAGTGATGTCTGCGATTATTGCCAAAGACAGCCATTTCTATTTCTTGTAACCAATTAAACTCAAACTCTCCGACCATTCTGTCTGATTCATCCAAAACTAAAATCTCTAAATTTTTTAAACTAAATCCTTCTGCTCTTTGAATTAAGTCGACTAACTTTCCTGGTGTGGCCACCAATATGTCAACCAAACTATAATATCTATTACCAGTAATACTCTTTCTGATAATAGAATCGCATTCGTCAGCAAACGATTTGTGGCCAATGGCTAAACCAACTTTAAGTGATGTCTTTTGACAATAAGTTTGGAACACTTGAAACACTTGAATGGCTAAGTCTCTGACGGGAAGAACCACTAAAACTCTAATATTAGTGACAACTCTTTTGCGAAGATAGTCAACAATTGGTAAAACAAATGCCAACGTCTTTCCCGAACCGGTCGGTGAACAGACACAAACATCGTTGGGACGAATAATATGGGAATTATTAAAACTTTTTGACAAATAGGGTATAACTTGTTGTTGAACTGGAAATAATCGGTCGATTTTATTGGCCGTTAAAAGTGATTTTATTGACGGATCAATTATGTCCGGAAAGTTATCCAAACTTTTACTTTTGCTGATATCTCTGTCAAAAATAATAGGCTGTGTCAGCCATTTGTCGGCAATTGTCGTCAATTTGATAATCTTTTCTTTCTTGACTTTACCGATCACTGGAAAGCTATCCGTATCGACCAATTGGTCTGTTTCTTCACTATCACCGATATTTTTATCTTCATTACCACTACTCTCATCTATCACATCACTACCATTAACAACATTGTCATCAATTACACTATCACTGCCAACATCGCGATTATTCAGGTCTTCAGTAACAACAATATCATCACTAGTCTGATCCAAATGGCAATCATTTGCAGAAGTATTTAGTTTATCACTGGATTGTGATTCAAGTCTTATCCGTTTTCGTTTTTTTGATCGTTTGATCAGTTTTTTAATTAAATCACTTTTGTCTGAGTCTTTTCGGTGTCCATTGTCTTCTTCAGGATTATCACCATCTGTTCCCATAAATCTGGGAATCGATAACAAGTCAAAGCAATCCATTTGTTTTGTTTTTTTTTTAATTCAAAAGACAATGTCATCCAAACAGTTGACTGATTGTGATATCAATTACAGTATTCAATGGAAAACACGTTTCAATTAAAAAAAAAAAGTATTTTAAATCTCAAAACATGTGCTCAACTCTCATGTTATTCAATATGTTGTCATTGATTGGGCGCTAAAATTTAAAATACATTATTATAATATACAGTAGTTTTTTTAATTCATAACTTTTTTTCATTAAATTCAATTTTAGAAAATTTTTAATTCAGTATTTAAAATCTTTATTAATATTAATACATGAAAAATAATTTTTATGAATTAATATGAAATACAGCTTCAATTGTTAAAACACACACAAAAAACATATAAATTTATAATCATTAGTTAAAAATTGGTTGTATTATACAACTTGTATATATTATAATTAAAATAATCATTTTTTGTTATAAGTACAGGCAATTGTGCGATAATTTTATGGTCAAAATATTTTATAAAAAAATTGTAATAATAAGACCAGTTATATGTTAAATATGTTTTACACATTATATTTAATCACTGATTATTGTATTGATAGTCATCTCGACGTCTCCGTTGCAAATCTCAAGTACTCTAAGAGCTATATGTCGTTCAACTCCAGTCACTTCCAGAACTGTTGATAACTTTTTCGGATCAAATTCAACCAATTTGTCAGTTGAATCGTTAATTTGTTGTCGTATTTGTCTTTTAGGTGATATATTACTTTCCTTTTGAGAGACATCTGTATTAATTGTCTCGTTAGTTGCCAACGAAACATTGACCAATCTATTGGAAGTGGTGGCAACATTTGGTCCATTAGCCAAATGTGGCAAAATAGTGGGTAAAGTATCTCTTATGACACGAGTATTGTTTAAGCGAATCTCTTTTTCGCGACTACTGATGATATCATAGAAAGAATGGGCTTCTGTGGCACAGTTCCTCAAATCTTCAGAACAATTAGATCCATACAATAGTATTACTTGAAAGCCTCGCCGTTTAGCTGAACGAATAGCCGGTGCAAAGTCAATGTCACCGGTGATGACAAAAACGGCACATTTGTTGTTGTGGTGATCGACAAACTTCTGGATGCATTCCATTAGCTTAGTGTCGGCGTCGACTTTATTAGGCGGTACGCGCACCGGATTCACGTGCAGAATGTCGACACCGGTTCGGTTAAGCCCTTCCACGTGTCGGGGATCCAAGTTTCGTGTGTCACACGAACAGTAGAACACACACGGCTCCGGCTGTTCACCGACCAGTCCTTCAAATTTGCTTCTTATAAATGTTTTGACACTTTGGACAACAGTAGCCGCTCTTTCCAACTGAGGAATACCACAATTCTCGATATCCCAAAAGATACCATAAGAATGACATCCAATCATCGATTGATTCACTTCTTGTGCATTCATTGTATTTTAATCTCATAAATAAATACTATAGATATAAATCCTAATTATTTATTTGTTTGTACAGTATATATAAAAAATATAAAATAACTATCGATATAAATAAAAAAAAATTACCGGTACTAATTTTAACTATATTTTTCGCAAAATGCTCAAACTAATTACATTGATTTAATAAAATTATATTTTTAATTAATTAAATGTATGATATCTTAAATAAATAAATTTAATAATATAATAATCAATTATACTGTATCATATATACATATATGCAATTCAATTTTATATTACAAATACCTGTACATTCATTACTACAAATTATAAATACTTACTGTATAACTTGTAAATCACTTTTAATATACAATATATAATTTTAACATTTAGTTTATCAAATAAAATCTATAATATTATTATATAAATATTAATAATTTAGCATAATTAATGCATTGTACTTTTAAAATGTCTTATAATTAGTAATAACCAATAAATGTGAATAAACAAGCATTAAAATTACCACAAAAAACTCTATTAAATTAAATAAATCAAATTTTATTATTTTTATATTAACATTACCACATAGTAGTGATTAATATAACATTCATTAATTATTATTAACTATTATTAATCTTATTTTATGATAACAATTATCATATGACAATGAATACATAAAATAATAACTAATTGAATAAATGATAGTTACTGCAACTATTATTATTTATCATCAAGCTCATTTAATAATTCAATGAATAATATCACTAATAATAAATAGCATAGTTATGTCATCAATATAATAGTCAAAGTTAGTTGTTTAGGAAATAATTAAAAATTATATAAATAATAATAATTAATGATAAGAGACTAAATGTTAATTATTAATTAAATTTACAAATATTATCATAATTTATAATTATCATAATATTATAAAAATATATGTACTTTAGACATACACTATTGTAAACAAAAATATTTAAACTTTTTGTACTGCAATTACATATTAATTATCATATATTAAATATCATATGAATATTTTTTAATTATATATTAATATTTATTTAATAGATTTATGTAAATATATGATATAATGATAATAAAATATTATCAATAAATGTCATTTAATATTATATTATTTTAGACTAAATTATACAATAAAAATAAAAATATTTTGTTTACAAGTGTTTAAACATTTATTACACCTGTTTGTCAAACATATTGTTTCAAATATATTACATAATTGTAAATGGATAATTACCTTGATCATTTATTGTAATAGTCAACAACATAAACAAATTTAATTACATTTTATTATATAATAATCAATTGATTTTAGACTATTAAACAAAATCACTGAAAACGGTTTGTGTTAACATGTGATCAATCAATTGATGTCTCAATCGGTTAAACACTTTCTCACAATAAAACAGTCAGTCAAGCAATACATACAATAAAATAACTGAATTGTTGTTTTCAAATGTCTATTGAATTGTCATTAAAAAACACAACACAAGTAAGTGTTGACGCAATACATAAATACATTACATAAATGATATACATTTTAGTACAATTCATGCGCTGTTTAGTGCATTTCAGTATCAATTGTTGTCATAAATTTATTTTTATTTTTTTGTGTTGACTTTCGTGACTGTATTATGTCATGTGTTTCAATGACTGAGGTATAGATTGAAATCAATTAATCATTATTTTTTGCATTAATTATGACTTATTATAATATTTTACAATTATTTTTTTGTTTAAAAACATAAAAACCATTTATAATTAAATTGATAGACATTTACCGTAAGTTTATTTTGTCTGTCATTTAAACCACAAATAGTTTGTATATTTTATTTGACTATTTGTTGGTAAATATGATATGAATTGAAACCTAATATTTTGATATAAACTTAATGTTAGTATGAATTGAATGATAGATTGATTGATAGTAACAATGATTGACTAAACAGGTATTGTGTTTGTGTTGTCACCAGCAATAGGTCTCACCATTTGATTGGTCCGAATGAAGTGATAGCGACGTCGAGAGGCGTTTTTCGTTGCCATTCAGTGATTGTTTGTTGACTTTTGAAGATCTGTTATCTCATCAAAAACAATATCACTCACGAAGAATGACATCCTTTTGTGGGTTTAATTCATTATCTAATGAAAACAGTTTAGACAATAATGATTACAATAGTAGTGATAAATGTCTTATTTTGGACAAACCATTAGTCAATCCTGTGACCAATTCGTTGAGTCCGTCGGAGTCGACCGTTTCGCTGGAATCGGGAGAATCGCGTCTTAACCAGAATGAGAGGACACCTATTCTCAGACATATCAGGTCTTTATTGACAATAAGATTCATATCTTTAATGCTAAACAAAATGATTGTCACTATAGGCTATTCCGTAACCTGAGTGGCCAATCGAGTCCCGATCGAAGCACATCCAGTCCTGTTCGTCAATTGGATCATAAAAATCTGACCACTTTTTCCGGTGTCTTTACACCCGTATGTCTGTCAATGTTTAGTGCAATTCTTTTTCTGCGAATTGGTTTGTATTTTGAATATTCATATATCATATGATATCTCTGGATATGTCCTCAACTCTAATATCTGTAATAATAATAATTTTAGGCTTTATTGTCGGCAATTCCGGTGTTTTGACCACTTTATTAGAGTTAGTGTTAGCGTATAGTATATTAGTATTTACAGTGCTATCGATTTGTGCCATTAGTACTAATGGTGCGATTGAAGGCGGCGGTGCTTATTGTGAGTCCTTATGATTGAAAATTTTGATAACATATGGTAACAGTATTTTGTTTTTACGGTAATTTAAAAGTTATGATAAGCCGTGCGTTGGGACCTGAATTCGGTGGAAGCATCGGAACCCTATTTTTTATCGCAAATGTATTTTCCAGTGCCCTATATATTACCGGTTGTGTCGAAGGAATCATCAATAATTTTGGTCCGTCCGGTGGAATCGCCGCCATATTGCCGGCCAGTCACTGGCATTCAATACTTTACGGATCGGTTTTAAACATAATTAATACATTGATTTGTTTGATCGGCGCCTCAGTGTTTGCTAAGACAACTGTCATTATATTTGTAATCGTAATGATCAGCACAATGTCCGTAATTGTTAGTCTATTGTTTCAAAGTCCGCTATCACTGGAAGTTCCCGAAGAAAATCAATATTTTAGACATCAGTACAACTCAAGTGTTGTTAATTTTACCAGTTTTGAGTGGACTACTTTCAAAGATAATTTAAACCGTAATTATTTATTTATTTTATTTTAAAAATGATAAATTAAAAAAATTATTAAAATGTTTATGTATCAATAATTAATTATCCTAGCTCAATTTGGTGTTGACTACACTACAAATGATTTTACAACTTTTCCCGTTGTATTTGGTGTGTTATTTAGCGGAGTTACCGGTATTATGGCCGGTGCTAATATGTCAGGAGAGCTTAAAGGTAACTTTTTTTTATTACCGCTACTCTAAATAAATTTGATTTATTGGATAAATTTAATTGCGTTCACTCTAGACGCTGGAAAATCAATACCACGAGGAACGTTAGGTGCTGTCGGCTTTACATTTGTCACTTATATTATTTTGGTGTTTCTATCGGGAGCTACCTGTCCTCGGTAAGCTTTATTTAAAATGTTTTATTTTATTTAATATCACAGTACCGGTAATCAAAATTTATATTTATTATAGAGAACTTTTGCAAAACAACTATTTATACATGCAATATATAAACTTTTGGCCGCCATTTATAGCAATCGGTATATTTTCGGCTACACTATCGGCGGCACTCAGCAATTTGATTGGCGCTTCGCGAGTGCTCGAAGCTGTGGCCAAAGACCATCTATTCGGTAAAATGCTGAATCCAATTGTCCGATATTCCCGTTCGGGTAATCCAATTGCAGCAGTTATTGTCACCTGGTTTACAGTGCAATGTATTATATTGATAAATAAGCTCAATTTGATCGCTCAAATCACATCAGTATTTTTCTTGTTGTCCTATTTCGCCATCAATTTGGCCTGTCTTTCGTTGACACTAACCTCTGCACCTAATTTTCGGCCATCTTTTAAATATTTTTCGGGAAAGACTACATCTATAGGAATGTTAGGTTGTGTTACAATGATGTTTGTGATTAATCCTCTTTACGCCGCAATAACAATAATAATGTGTTTGCTTTTGGTAATTGCACTCCACATACGGTCGCCTCCTGTCCGCTGGGGGTCTATAAGTCAAGCGTTAATTTTCCATCAGGTATAAATTATATCTGATTTTTATATGAAAAAAATAATTTTTTTTAATTATTGGTAATTTATTCAACATATATTAGGTCCGTAAATATCTTCTATTATTGGATAGTCGTAAAGATCATGTAAAATATTGGAGACCACAGTTTTTGTTGATGGTATCTAATCCCAGATCGTGTATACCATTGATTAGTTTTGTCAATGACCTCAAAAAGAGTGGTCTCTATATTTTGGGTCACGTAAAAGTTGGCTCATTTGATGACTTTGATTCTGATCCGGTTCTCGAAGAATATCCTCTTTGGCTGAAACTTTTGGACAAACTTAAAGTTAAAGCTTTTGTTGAGGTGACATTGGCATCAACTGTTAGGGACGGATTGCATCAGTTGTCCAGAATTGCTGGTTTGGGTGCTATGAAGCCAAACACCATATTATTTGGTTTCTTTGACGATGAAATTCCGTGCGATTTCTTCGAGAATAATGTAATTTATCATAATTTAAAAGATATTCTTTTGCGCGGAAATGTGTTCTTATCTTTGCGTGAAGACAATAATCAGCGACCGTTTACACCCGAAGAATACGTTTCAATGCTTTACGACTCGGTATTTAGGCTTCAGAAGAATGTTTGTGTCGCTCGTCATTTCCATCTATTCAATAAGGTTTGCATTTTTGGATTTTACAATATTTCCAAATATTTTTAACAATAAATGTTGTTATAGGATATGGTTGTGGCCTCACAATCATATATCGATGTCTGGCCAATCAATTACTTTAGTCCGCAGACATCCATTACAAATATTGACAATTGTTGGCTATTTCTGATGCAATTGGCGTGTGTGTTGCATATGGTTCCCGGTTGGAAACAAGCGACTAAAGTGCGAGTATTCATGTGTGTCGACTCAAAGATTAAAGACGTTTCACTCTTAAGGAGACAATGGGAACAAATTCTGCAAATGCTTAGAATTGATGCCACCATTCATGTTGTTATTTGGGATCACGTGACAGCACCTTTGGATCAGTCATTAACTTCATTAACTAATGTCAGTAATGGCTCACAGAGTCCAACCGAAACCGATCTTATGAATGAAACAAATTTAACGCTTAACGATAGTCCCCAACGATTTGTGTTAACCAATCAATATCTAGAAAGTGTAAACAATATGATTCAAGAGCACAGTCACAATACTTCGGTGGTATTCATGTATTTACCGCCGCCGCCGGCCAACAGTGGCGACTATCTGTTATATTTGCAACGTTTGGATATTTTGACAACAAGTTTGCCGCCAACTCTATTGGTTCACGGCATCAATCCGGTCACTTCTACGACACTTTAAAACTAAAAACAATTGTTAAATTATAATTATAACCACTTTATTATTATTATAAATTATATAATTGTTATAAATAATATGTTATAAATTTTCAAATTCAATATATTTTAATGTAAAGTATTTTTATTAAAATTTTTTATATATATATATATATATAGTTTATATATGTAACAAATTATCTCATATTTTTGTTAAAATTAATAATTTTTCTATTTATTTATTTTTACTAAACGCTAATCATTATTTTTGTGAACACATTTTATATTAAAACTATTTTTATGGATTTCTTGATCCAAACAAATGTCTTAAGAAAAATATCATTAAAATTTTGGGACATAAAAACCTTTTTAAATGTTTATCATGTAATATATATATACTGTATTATGAGATAATATTTAATGAAATATATTATTTATTTTGTTCATTTGCCAATTTATTACTCTAAATATTGTGTTATTTTTAAAAATTAAATTAAGACTTTTTGCTTGTTTTTGATGATTATATATATATATATATATTATAGAAGTAGTTGTATATACACTATAAATTGGTGTCGGAGTCGGTGTGTGTCTCCAAAAATGCCTAACAATTATTATTATATTCAACTCATATAATAATAATACAGTAAATACTATACACTAATGTCTCACTTATTTTGCATATATATAACTCGTGATCTCTATTCTAATAAATAGGTTTTTGTTTTGTTCTTAACTTTTCTTTTGATAAACATTTGAGAGAGTATTTAAAATAATTATTTTTTTTTGTTTAAAAAACTTTTCTTGTCATTTAAATACAAAAATAAGATTTTGGATGCATTACATTAATAGCAATAATAAGTCATTGATTTTTATTATTATTATCAAAACCAGACCCTTTTTCACGAACTCAGTGTGTTATTTGGTTTTTAGGGGAACGGGTGATACTATACTACTCTAACTTATAATACACTACAATATACTGTATTATGATATGCAATGTTATGTCAATGCTATTTAAATGCTATTTAAATGCTATGCAATGCTATATACGGAATACAAGAGAAGCCAAAAAGTTTTAAATATAGTTATTTCAATGATTAACACACAGAATATTATAATGAGATGTTTGAAATGTTTAAACGCAAAAAGTCTTCACTGATTATGTGCCATATTTACGGTCCAATTCTTAAAATAAACATTTGATCACTAATTTTCAGTCATCGCTTAGATCCAAAAAAATCATTGCTTTTTCACTAAATTAATTAAACTTTTCAAATATCACTATTCTGTTACTAGTTTTCTATATCACAACTGAATATTGTTTGAGATATACAAAGTAGTGTCACATTATTATTATTATTATTAAGAATTTTTTTATATATATTATTTTGACACAAGAATCGCAGAATTTTTAGAAGAATTGTTACTAAAAATAAGTGAATGTTTTTTCTTTTAATAAAGTATTTCTCTGAAAGTTTTGTTTCGGTTCTATAGTTCTGTAGTTTCTTAAAAAAGTTATACAATTTGTTTATATATATATATAAATGCCATTAATTATTATTAATTAAAATTAAAATCTTGTGATCAATTATTTTTTTGTTGTCTTCTGTTTGATTGGTGTATAACTCTGATAATTACCAACAACTATGAGTTATAGACGAGAGTCTCCGTGTATGAAGTATTTCGAGAAGACAAGAGGTGACGGACACATCCGAAAGAGTCTGTCAGCCACTCGTGTCTGTTATTTTTGCTTTCATTTGTTTGACATTTGTTTTGTTTGCTGTCCTAAACATAATATTGATTTAAATTAATTGATAGTTTCCACCGATACGTCGTACAAGTGATCCATCGAGTGATGATTCCGACGATTTTCATCAATTAGACTTCAGCGGTGATCTGTCGTCATCCATATCCAGAAGCAGCTCCGAGTCGTGTCACTCGTTGGGCTCTAATCGCTGCTGTAAGTGATGTGATATTAATCATAATATTTTTTAATTAAAACAAAAACTCATTAATATAATTATCTCAATTTATATTAATTAATTTATATTTTTAAATTTTAATATATACTTCTATATATAATTTTATAATAAATCAAAACATTATTTTAATAATAATTATAATGTCAAATTATCTATTATATATAAAAGATAAAATCTTTAATTAATATAATCATTAAAAAAAAGTTTTACATTTTTTTGCATTTTTAATATTGCTTTATGTTGTAAATTGTGTTGATTTTAGTCAAACTAATTTTTTCTGTTATTAATAACAATTAATTGCATTTTTACATAATATATGTTATTTAAGAAAATTTTTGACATACATTTGGGCGAAAATTAGAGTGAAATGAAATATTGTTTACGAATCCTGTTTTGCTCTAAAAGTAAAAATGCAATTAAATTTACAAAATATTTATGTATATTAAGTTTTTAAATATTTTTACAAGATATGCAATAATTCAAATTTATAAATTTTAAAAAGTAAATATAATAATTTGAAAAACATATAAAAAACATAAACAAATTAATTTTATAAATTAATAACAGAAAATATTATTTTTCTATAAAAATAATTATAATTTTATCTATAAACTGTATTATAATACTATTTTATAAATATTGATATAATTATAATAATCTCATATAATCTAATTTATCAATTTTTTAAATGATATTTTCAAAAATTATTTATAAATTTGATAATAAATATATGCAATAATTAAATTTATTTTTTATTTAAATTAAAATTCCGACAAACAGTGCGAAAATTGGATGAAATTCGGTCATCGCGTTCATCGCTAAACAAAATGCAAATATTTGACGACAACTTTCACAACAATAATAATGAATCGCTTGAAGAGTTTAGATCTCGTTTAAGAATTAGAAGAAGTCATAAAAACAGAGACAAAGATCAGTTCAATTATGACAATGAAGGCGACAAAAGTGATATTTCTATCGATAGTGCGACCAAAGAGGCTCACGAAGAGATACTCAGAAATGCTGAATCTCTTAGACGAGAACAGGTATGCCATTCAATAGCTCAACACTTATATTAATGGCTGATATTTTTATTTGGGATATACCCAGTGATTGACACAATTTTGATTATTTAAAAACAAAAATCAGATAATTTAACATAATTTTAGGATAACATTAATCTTTTTTATCGCAAAACGCTTTAATGGTTTTTTAGGGTTTTTATAGATCAATTAATTTACTATAAAATACATTTCTATTAAATATTTTTATATTTATTTTAATAATAAAGTATTAGTATAATAATAATAATAATACTAAAATATATTAAAATATTCAGAAAATTATGCCAAACATTTTGCATATATGTATTAATTTGTATATTGTATTTATTTTATAATAAAATTTGTTTGCAAACCTATTACTAATTTGGGTCATCACTCCATAGGAGGGTTAAGTAATAATTTATGACAATAATTGGTCAAAACTCTGTCATAAATTAATTTATAAATAATTTCCAAAACAAATTTATCTATAAATTAAGTACAAGAATGCAATTATAGTGTAATTTGTTTGTTTTATTACATTTTTATTTTTATTAATAATAATAATAATAAAATTATTATTATTTATTTCTATTTAAAAGCCAGAGATTTATAACACGAGTTCAAAAAAGCTCATCCGTTCGTACAAACCATCAATCCGTTTACCAAATAATAAAAACACAGAAAAAAGGATAGACTTTACTGAAGAGCAAACAAATAAGTAATAAAATAATGGTTTTTGTAAACAATAATTATTGTCAGGAATTCAATTGAATACACTTTTCTAAATAGACTTCAGGACATCGATAGGTCGATAGATTTGGATAACAGTTATGAGTCGAGGAAAGACACACTCAATAGACTATGCAGTCGAAGACAGGAAGAGATTAGATTAGCAACACTTCCAAAGAGGACGTCTTTAGACTACGACAACTCTAACAATGATGGAGAGATGCACGGATTGCAGAGAAGTTCTACCGATTATTTCGGGCCAACCAATGATGTCGGCCAACAAAAATCATTGACCAAAACGGCAAAAAAGATCTTTTCGAGTCCCAGACTTAAACATAAAACACAGTCACAAATACTGAGAGCCGCCTCATCTATTCCTTCCCGTAAGTCATATATGTTTTGATGGGAAATTAAAAAAATCAAATTTCCAGGAAATTCTATAACTTTTATAGCATTAATAACTGCCCGTATTTTTTCTAAAAAAAAATTACATTCAATTTTGATTTTATTTAGTAATATTTCCATTGAAGAGTAGTAATAATGTAAACAAAAGTGTGAATACCATAGATATGTTAGACTCTAGCAATTGTAACACTCCTGAGAGCAGCTTCGGTGGCTCTAAGAAGAGTTCAATAGATGAGGGATTGATATGCAATACACCTAAAACTAGAAGAAGTCCGTTGCGATTCTTAGGCAACTTTGTTGACGACAAACTGTTCAGAGGTCGGTGGGGATCAACAAAGAGGGCCAAATCTTCTGTAGAATTGGGACGACTTTCCTGGGAAATTCCCGACGACTTGACTGATAATAATAATAATTGCGGAAATAAATTAAATCGCAGAAAAAGTTACATTAAAGACGATAATAATCTTAATCAACACACACTTAAAGATATGCCGAGTGTTACACAAAGAATAGCTGTCAATGAAATGCCGGACACGAGTTGTTGCAAAACTAGTTCTTCGTCGACATCTCTTTCCTCTAAACATAAGCCACGATCTCTTAGCACATGTGCTGATAATAGGAACCGACACCGACTGCCGAGTGCTGCATCTGATAGACTTTCACTGTCCAGTTCATCGGCCATCGGGTCAGATGATGCCGATATCTTTCTACCACAACAACAGTCACCACTAAGGACTGAGATATCTGCTGATGCATTGGCAGAGATAGAGGTAAAAAAAATTATTGTGTGATAATAATTATTATTATTATATATCAAAAAGTATTATCCATTAGTTAATTGTTTTCTATTAATAACTCTTTTCTATTTTTAAAAGGCATTTGAAAGGTTGGCTCAAAGTCTACTCAAATAAGAGTCCATCTGATAATAAAGTGATTGTTTTGATTAGACATCTAATGTATAATAATTTTCTGCTTTCATAGACATCTATTCAAGTCATTTATCACATAAAGTTGTCTATTATATTATTTATCTATTAATGAACTTTTATAATACATGTATTTAATATCGACTGTTTAAAAATAGACAAAATATATTATATATTCATTTAATAATATTTTTTATTAAATCGTTGCCATTATATTATTTTCAAAAGACAAATGCATTATAAAACTTTTTTTGTCTGCTAAGTAATTGAAAAATATAATACATAACGTATATACCGTATATATATATCTAACTAACGATAATTTTAAAAAACAAATCTTTGAAAAACTATTTAAATATTTTTGATGCGATTAGAAATAAGAGATAATAATTTCAATTATATATTTTGAAAAAAATGTTTTTAAAATTTATTTTTTTACAATTTTTTTGTTTTAATATTTTTCATTTTTACTGTTTAATAAACATATTTTTGTTGTTTTTAATGAATATACAAAAGAAAGAAAAAAGTTTTTAAAATAAACTCTTTTGACGCCTAAAAAAGCAGATATTTATCAATAATAACTTATTTTTGTTTTGTATACAAAAATTAATTACAATCTATAAAATACCCCTAAAAATAGTAACAATAATATCTTTTTCATGTGATAATGTTTGTTAATTGTTTTGTTCACTTATTATATAATTTTTGTTGTAATGTTTATATAATAAATATATACAAAATAATGTTAATATATACTGCTTTAATAACAATTTATTTTTCAGAGAAAATAATATTTTTTCTATTTTATAATATGATTCGTTAATTCCGTTAAATTGAGATACGAAAAGATTGTTATTAAACATAATTGTAGATTAAATAATATTAATGAATTAGAAAACATTAAAAATTTAAATTTATTCAATTGAAAAATTAAATATTCATTAGATTTAATCAATTATTTTTTTAAAAAATTGTTTAGTAAAAATCACTAAATTATTATATAATTAACATATCTGTGGTTAGCAAATGTTCAAGTTGTAAGGTATATATTAAATATATTAATTTTAACTATTTATATACACTGTATGTTATACAGTAAATCAATAAATAGTATGGCATTAATGTATTTTATTCATTGAACGATTGATTTTTTTTATAATTACCGAAATGTAACATATATTTTGTATACTAGTATTAAAAATATCTGCCGGATGTGATAAAACAACAAATTGTATAATAAAAATAATATTTAGATGCTAAATGAAAAAAAACAATTTTTTTATATAATTTACATGATATACAATAGTTATAATTTATAGCAACAATTAATTTTTTAGTAAATATTATATTGTTATACTGTACTGTATTTTCAGTGCTATTGTTTAATATTATATAAAGTCTCAGTCATTGTGACCGCACTCTTAGCGATGAACAGCTGGATCTGTATATACAGTATATATATATTCAATATATAAGTATGGGTTGGCCTCACATCTCATAAATTCACTATAAATATGAACCAAATTCATGACTTTTGGCCATTAATTTGTTGATTCTTATAATAAATTATAATTACGATAATACTTGTGCTTTTTTCATGTCTAAAATTTTGTTGTTTTTATTAATGGCTGTAAATATATTTACGAAATAATAATAATATTTTATAACTTATTTATATATTATTGTGTATGCGTTTCCAATTTGATGTTAAGCAAAGAGAAAAAATATTTTCTCCTTTTATAAATGCAAACACTAAAAGTCAAAGAGACTATAATTTTTATGTGTGATTATATGGGAATGTCTTAAGCGTATAATTTGAATGATTGTTCACTTTTATCTTTCATATGTTATTTAAATTTATTGCTCAGATTATACTAAATTTTTTTTGAGGTCCGTAAGAGAGAGAGAGAGAGAGAGAGAGAGAGAGACTTAAAATTGTTTGGTAATATGACACGACTTATGCCTTAACAAGTTATATAATGTTTCCCATATCAGACCCAATCAGACCTAACAATCCCTACAATCTATAAATTTAATACTTAAAAACCATTGCCCAACACTTTGAATAAAAAACTTTTTTCTTATTTAAGACACAAACTATACGATATAATTACACATAAAAACAACACACCATTTGAATAATAAATTATCGGATATTTTTACAGAAAAAAAAACTTTTTATTTATTTAAGTATTGCTTTTATCAGATTTTTTTGGGGCCACAACTATATCAGTAAAAATACAGTAATCCTAAAGTCAATCTATTTACTTGTTTAGCACATCTAATCAACCAAACAAACAATGGTTTCGGCGGTAAACTAATTGTTCACAAAAAACAGCTGCCATTGTATATACACTGTCTGACAGCTAATGCCAGACAAAACATTGTAAATTACATTAAGGAAAGCATAACAATCATCTGCTAAATTGGATCAACATATTTATGGTCAGCTTTAGATAAATTAAAAACATTTAAATATTAAATTTGATGTTTTAGTATATTATATATATACATGTATTTATAAACTGTATATAACTGTTTGAAAAATTTAGAGATAATTGGATTTTAGCATAAAAATGTAAAATTCAGTCTAAATTATAAATTGTTTTCAATAATTTCACTTAAAAAAATAATTGTCAAATCAATTTATATCAATAAATTAGATACATTGGATGCCATCGACTTATAACACACACACACAGAGTGAGAGAGAGAGAGAGAGAGAGAGAAAGAGAGAGAGAGAGACGCACACAATAATTTTAATAACATTAATTAGATTTACTTTTCCTTTAAATTAAAAGTTGTTTATTTATTTTTTAAATATAAAAAAATATTTTTATTGCTTTAATGGGGTATAACAAGCAATAATTATAAAATAAAAAACGATTTTGAAATAAGTAATAAAAATAAAGAAAAATATAAATTATTGAAAGTATAAACTACTGTACGACTGGAATGTTATGATATCTCATAATACGATATTAATAATAATTAGAAATTTTGCTGAAACTTAAGTTTATTTTCTTTATTTAAAAAACACTTTTTCAGTCGTAATATATACTATATGTGAGTTTACATGTGTTTAAACTCCTGTCGTGTGAATTATTAAGTTGTATTGAAATACTTGATAAATATTCAGAGATATGTTTGCAGTGAAAAGTTATTCAATTCCTTTTATGTATGACTTTTTTTATTGGTTGTACTGTACTTACACTTATAACTGATTAACAGACAATTTTTATTTTATTTTTTGAGATAAAACTGCTATTTTTATCCATCAATTGACTGACGAGTGAAACAGGAGTTTGTTGTGTTTCACTGGCTTTAAGTATATTATATATCAAATGATGTGATGCCAGTCACTCATCATTACTCTACTAGTTATTTACTAAACCATTATATTCTGTATATATATGAGTAATAATTTTATAATAAAAAAACCTTTTTAATATCTCATTATTATCATTAATAAATGTTTAATTGTAAATATTTTGATTGATGGCTTTTATGTAATGAATTTTGATGAATGATAACCATGATTATGGCATCTATTATTTTATTTTACATTAAATTATTGTTTTATTAAAAAGCAAATTGTTTTTATGAAAATATCTTATGTGTGAATATATTAAACATAAAATGATTTTATCAATAAAATTGAATGAATTTAAGTTTATAGAAAAAAGGAAACTATTGAAAAAATTTAATGAAATAATATATTTTAAGAGTGATTTCTACAAAAAAAACAATTCAATAATTGTATGTTTATTATGGGATCAGCAGCTCATAGGCATAGTTAGTGTGGTTGTAAGGAACGGGTGCTTTTGGTACAGCTATTCTATACTGTAATATGCAAAGCAAAGTACTGTAAATTTATGTACAATGTGTTTATGTTGTGCTCTAAATGCTGACACAACTGCGCTCTCAATGCAAAGGTTGGACTTAATGATGATGTGGTTGTGTTGGAGAGCATCAGTAGAGCACTGGTAGTGTCGATAACGTGTATGAGTTTGTGTTTGAGAGCTGTATTCCAGTCGTTATATTACTATTCAATGGTTGGCTTCCATTGACTGTATACTCAAAATTCACGACAAAAACTGTTTTTGTTTTGTTTGCCATTCATTTGAATTTCACAATTGATTATCAATTTGGGGTTTTAGTGTCCAAAATAAAACACTCAATTAAATTACCGATTGATAGGTCATCTCAATTGACAAACAACTGTCAAAGAGATGAGTGAAGAAACCGCTGACGACCAGTAAGTCTTATGTTTTATTTATTTAATCACATTTTCAATGAGTTTTTTCTATCGTTACTAAGCATTATATTTATGATAATTATTTTATCGTTTATTTAAATATTGCATTATTATCATTATCATTATATGCAATTATATAATCATTTATATTTTTATGTCATACCATTAAAAACAAAGTATCACTTAATTTGTTAGCATTTTTTCTGGTGTATTAAATATATTATATATCATAAATGATTTTTTTTGTGAAAATTGATTGCAATGCTACTGATTTATAATTATTTTGTTTAAATTTATTATATGTTTTTAGGCTAATTAATTTTGATAAAGACAATCAATATATTATAAATAAATATTAATTAATTATTTATTTAGTAAAATACTAAATCATATGTTGACAACTCTATTAATAATTAATATATTGATTAAAAAATACACAGCTATTGAATAATTATTGATATTATAATTTATAATTTAAGAGACCTAACTATTATATAAACTCGCTATTAAAATAATTTTTTACTGTTACTAAAAGTATCTCAAAGGATACTAGTAATAACTTACCGTAAGTTAATACTGTATACTAAATAATTGAAAATATTTTTGGCTTATATCTACTTTTTTATTTATTTAATTAATTTTAAATAATTAATTCAATTAGAAAATAAATATAACAAATTAAATTATGTTTGATGGAGTATTTTGTGTATTTTATCAATATAATAAATTATAAAATTAACTTTTTATTATAATTTTATTTATTATATATTATTTTTGTATGTTTGTATAACCAACTTTTAAAAATTATTGATTTTGTGCTTATTTTTGTAAAGTGATAAATATTTTGTCTTATTATATATACATTAAATAAATTGTTTAGATATTTCTAAATAATTTTTTGTTGTTTATAAATTCTAATTATAATTATATAATTGTAATTAACTACAAAACAGACAAACAAACATTAAATGTAATTATTTGCAACTAAATATATCCAAAAATAAATTAATCTAAAAACTTAACTCTATATAATAAATTAAATTAATAATTGATAGATAAACTGTAGTTATTTTTTATAATAATAATTATGTATTGAATTGAATTGAAGTGGAGGTCTGAGAATGACATCATTGTATAATAATTAACGACAATTTTGATGACATTTGCTATGAGATGTCATTTATATTTAATGATATTAATAAACTTTGTAAAAAATAAATAAAAATAAAGTTTAAAAATAAATTTTTTAAATCTCAACATTAGTTAAGACGTTTTTCAGTCATTAAAAATGTTTGATTTCACGATTTCAATCTTAAGTAAATATAAAATAATAATAAAAAATAAAACTTACAATAATATCATTCAATATCAATTATAGACTTATAAAAGCTATAATCTATGTATTTAAATGGTTTGGGTTGAATCAGGTATTAGTAAATTAAAATATCTTTAAGAAAATGTTTGGTCAAAATTTAGATGAATAGCTATTCATTAAAAGCCATTAATTTTGTTAATATAAAAAATTGTTTTTCTTAATCTATTTATATAACTTATATTATAAAATTATATAATGAATATTTAATATGAGATGTATATATGTATTAAGTCATACAACGAAGATAAATGAAATAACGATTTTATTATCTAATAGTCAGGTGTTTGGCACAACTATCCCATCCAATAGGTTGTCTAACAACACAATAATACAGGTTTTAAAATAAAATAATAATAATATAAATATAAATAATAATAATAATAATTCCCTTTTTTGGAGACCTTTATCTGTTTATTTGAAGTACTTTCACGATATTTGAAATTAATATTTCTATAATTTATCCATTAAAACATTTTTATTTATTATGTCTTAAAAATTAAGTAACAATAATAGTGTATTTTTCTGTAAAAAATTGTATAAAATTTATTAAAATAATTGTGAATTAATTTTTTATATTTTTGTTCGATTTTCCACACAATTCGCAAAAAAATAAATAATATTTTTTTGTGGTAAAAAATACAAATCGTGATTATAGTGTATTTTAATCTGTATTTATGTTAATTATATACTGAGAGATATAGCGATGTTTATCTATGTTTTAATGGCAATACAAATCCAATATTTATCGCAAATATATTAATACTTATGGCATATTATTATTGACATTAAAATTATCCGATTATTTGTATTTTCATTTTTATTTAGATTTTTTTGTGAGACTAGCACTCTATGATATGAGAGCTCCCGTCCCGCACACTCAACAGTATCCCAAACCCATAACAAACATATGCTTACTGTTAGATATAGTGATCTATTATAAACTCAGAAAAACTTTGATGTTTTCTTATGTTTCAATCAATCATTTATTTATCATAAAAAAACTTTTCTCATTTCTATTCAAAATAAAAACTTAGTTATCATGTATTTACAGTACACTGTATAACGTGTTTTAGTACGTGTATATCGTTGTGAATATTGTGTGGGCTATCAATAACTTGAATTTCAATTTATAGACTCCAGTCTGGTGTCGGGTGTGTATAAAAGTCAATGATACAAAAACTTTATAATATTATATTAAAAAAATATTAATATTTTTATTATGATTATTACATAACTTATATATACAGTATATATATTTATATTGAATCCAATTAAGTGCAACATTTATATCATATAATACTGTTATATAAATTTATATGTAATGTCAGTTCACACACACAACAGGGAATATAATGGTTTCCTTTCGTTTATAAGGAATGTATGGTTCACTCCCTTCTCATAGCATTTTAAGATATAAAAAAAAGTTTAATTTAACTGTAAATATTCAACAACAAAAAATAAAACAAAATTGTAATATTGAATATTTTTTACAAATACACGCTCTTTATAACTGATTTACATTTTGTTAACAATAAATCTGTTAATTAGATATATATATATATAAATTTATATATATATTGAATAAATGAATACATGACTTTTCCTATTTATCTATCTATCTATCGATTATAATCAGTAAACATAATTATAATTTAAATACAAATATATATATACAGTATATATTTATCATTTTTTCCATAAATTTCACAATTTCAATACCATTTATTATTTTTGTTGAATGTGTGTATAATAAAAATATTTCTTAACTATATAGCCTTCAGAAATTTTATAATCAAATTTAAATAATTGTTTTCAACAAAGTTATATTATTTGTGTAAAAATTAACCAAAATTAAATAATATATATTAATCAAATGCAATTCTATATAATTATAATTATTTAAAAAAGGATTTTTCAGACCAAATGTATTCAAATTCATTTATTTATTCAAATAGTGCTCTTAGTGTTCATTAAAAATAAAAACTTTTTTATTTAGATAATATTTATAATCTCATTAATGTTTTTGTTATTCAATTAATTAGAATATAACAAAACATTTGAAATAATTTAGTTTAATTATTGAAATTACATAATAGTTTAAAATTAGTTTAAATCGTAAAAAAATGTGAAACCTAACCAAACTTATGCTGAAATTTATTTATGCAAAAAAAAACAAGTATTGAACTTAAAAAATGCAACATTTGAACCAAAATTTTTTAAACAATTTGTTATCTTTAAGGAAAAATTATTAATCATTGAGAGTTAAAAACTTTTTTGTTGACTGAAAAATCTGCTATAATTCTGATTAATAACTTTAAAATTTTTATTTTCTTTAAGTGCAATTTCCTAAATATATTCAAAAATTTGCTTAAACTGTATAAACACTTATTTTATATATTTATACTACAGTATACACAGTGTATATTTGTATATTTAATGTACTGTATATTCAAATGACACGGTATTGATCCCATTGGAAAACATTGATAATTATTGAATATATGTATATGTATTTGCAAAACATTTATTTATTATAAATTAAACTAAAAAACAAATCACATTGAGTGATATGGCTTATGAGTTGATGCCAAATATAAATATAAATAATAGATATAAATAGTATACGTCTGTATAAAGTTTCCTTTTTATAAATTTATATACAGTATTATACATAATATGATTAATATGAAAGTTTTCATACATTTTTATGAGTTTTCAAGACAGTCATACTATGTTTTACTATTTTTCCTACTCTTTCTCATAGACACATAATATTATATATTTAATATATACATTGAGCCGAAATTAAAACAACAACTACAACAACACTAACAACATCATCAACAACAACAACAAAACAAATTTAATATATGCTTTAATGGTCCCAAATGTTTATTATCTAAATCACGCATAGCTTACTATTCCCTGAATTCACATTACAATTATTATTATTATTAGTGTTCAGACATTGGGAATCAAAAAATCCACATTTTTATATTCAAGTTTTTTGTTTCTGTTATCTACTTTTTATTTTTATTTTATATATTTATAAGTTATATACTTATATTTTACGTTTCATTTCTCTGACTCATCCACTCTCAACATAAGAGCCCAATATTGTTGGTTACTAAAGACATACAGTAGTATACAAGTGTTGATGCACTCCAAATGCCTCTCTCTCTCTCTCTCTCTCTCTCTCTCTCTCTCTCTCTCTCTCTCTCTCTCTCTCTCTCTCTTTCAGTCAATCTTTTCCCCTTTTTTCTCTCTCTAAAAATACTGCCAACAAATTTATGGTCTGTAAAAATGTTAAAAATATACATTCAATGTATAAAACTTATTAAAGCATTTTGTTTGAATGTATATTTAATATCTATCAGTGTTTTTTCATTTTTTTCATTTGATATTTTCAATAGAAATCACTTTTCATAATGTATTCAATAGAAAAGATATATAGATAGAGAAAAAAAGAAAGAAAGAAATATATATATATATATATTATTTATACAAGAGAGTTATAAAAAGTTTTATTGTGTGTTTGTACTTATTATTATTAATATTATTATTTATAATTTTATTGTCGCAAATATAATATCTATTACTTATAACAATAAAATTCTTAATATAC